TTCGGTCTCGTACTACCCTGACTTATATTGAACAGCATTGAGTTTTTCGCTTTTATGACCCGTGTGTGTACGTGTATATCGTTTATTTATACGTGTATACGTGAAGCTCCGGACATAGAAGGTACGCTCGTGCGAAGAGCCGAAGACCGAGGAGGAAGCGAAGGAAGGTCACTCGATAATGCTCTCGACGACGTGGCCATTAACCGTGCGAGGAGGCAAGGGGGATGCGAGAAGCGAAGAGCACAAGGTTCTCCCTGTGCTCGGTCGCTTCGCTCGAATGCACGCCCAGTAAGGCATCAGACGTCCTACATCGATCACATCATCGGTCGAAGGCCCTTCCGATACACGCGATAGGCCCATCGATATAAATGGATACGAGCGAGTAGCGCATTAGATGACAAGACTAGACGACGGGAGGAAGCTCGTTTCGTGTCATTTTCATTCCTCAAAAGATGAAAAATGCAATCGTTGTCTCTCCTTCTCTTTCTTGCGCGCGTTTAAAGATATACGCTTATACACATATGCATCATATATAAAGTATCGATCGTAAAATACGAGAGAAGTCGTATTTTCTCCTTGCGAAGATGTTGAAGATACAATTGCGTACAAATACCGCTCTTTGAGGCTTTGGAGTATTTTATGAATATAAATGTATATATCTATAACACACAGACACACGCATACACACGTCACGACTCTGAAATGTATGTGGTTAAATATTATCATTTAAAATAATGACAGTCTGTCATAGAGACACGTGACAAATATTTTTACAGTTTTAATAACAGCAGTAATGCATGATAACATGGGGATTAATGGGACGCGTTTATTGATTAATTCGCGAAAGAACTTTTGCAAAGAAAGCCGCCGGAAATAAAAAAGTCATGGTCATTTTTGTAATATATGTAAATGTATTCAACATGTGCTCGAAGATATTAACTATGTTAAATGTCAAAATGGCAAAAACTTGTACCATTATCTATTATACCACTTTTTGTCACGCAACTGTTTGGTTAAATGGATAATAACGCACAGCTCTTCGTAGCAATAAAATTGCCTCTTTTATTGCTTCGTTTACGTGACACATGTACATATAGATATGTCATCAAAATCAAAGTAGAAATTAAATTATTTAATATTAAATTATTTATTTTCACTTAACATTTTCATCCAGAGCTGTAAAATTATCTAATAGTATCATCTAATTAGTTTATTTATTTTATTCGCATGCGGGACGTTTCATTTATACACAGTAAAAAATTGTGCGTCCGTATGTTAAAAATGTGTTACCACATTTTGATTAGTATTTTAATGTAAAATTATCACACACAACTTATATGTTATTATTTTTATAATGTTTTTCATGTGTCACATAACGTTACATTTATGTCAACTTCATAACTTAACATGTATTTGTATATGTCTCTTAGAAATGGAATATTGTTTTGAGTATTTTTAATATAATCATTTTAAACAATCAACATGTCTCAATGTCAGTTTAACATTCCAAGAAAACTTAAAGTAAATCTTTAAATAATCTTGAACTTTGACATACAAAATTAATCAAATTTACTAAAATCAAATGTTTTTATTACAAATAATTTAAGTTAAAATAATTACTATATGTTAATGTCCTACAACAATTTTTATGAGTTATTGTAATTATTTTTTCATGTAATTTTTAATTAATTTTTTTTTTAATGTTAGTTTTACATTACACTTAAAGTCACGATAACAAAAATAAATGTAAAGTATTGTGTCAATTATTTAACATTTCTAGTTTGTCAATAAGTATTATAACATACGACGAATGAGTTATTTTAACTTAAAATTTAGAGTGGACTTTCTGGAACATGTGAAAAATGTTCAAATAACATGTTAAAATATTAAATTAACATTTTATTTTTTACTGTGTATGCATGCGATAAATTAACTTCCTGAATATTCGAATAGTCGACAAGAAACATAACTGCTGTAAAAGCACACCGAAGAGACTGTTTGTTGCAATTATTTACATGTTATCTACTGCTCGTGATTAATAATATTAAATTAAATATGGAATTACAATCTGTCTTATCCGCTGACATATTTGTCAACGACAAGATAAATTGTACCTCCACATTCTCGATTCTATCGCGATGTCTTACACGGATTGTGGATTAAAAAAATTATTCTACGCTGATGAAAAACGGAGAAACGTCAAAGCGGTGATGTGTGATTTGCTATTTCGATAATTATGCGAGGCGCACTATTAACGGCTTTGATATAATTCTCGACGATGGTCCATCGTTAGACAAATTTATCAAGTTAAGACGCGGGGCATAGTGTTTCTCGGGCACCTAACTACATAAATTAGACGAAAATGCTGCAACCTCTCTCGCGATACCCGCGTACGAGCGATGCGGTTGTGTGGCCTAAGTGCAAACAGAATCGCCCGCATGGGAATTTTCTTCCCCGAGAAAGTTGCTGGTGTGAAATAAAGTAGAGATGGACTTTCTTTAGCTGCACTTTCCGCTCGCACATGCTACGTCTATAAAATGAGACAAGCACATATCGTAGATCCTGGAGAAAAGAGAGGAAAGAAAAGAGATGCTTTCTGAGGGAGATCTAAAGAAAAACAAATATAAAGAAAAAAAAATATATGTATATATATATAGAGTGTGAAGAAAAAGGAAAACAAAATATCTAACACGTAATATCAAACATTGTTATTCGCTAGATTTGAATAATTCTGAATTCTCCATTGTGAGAGATGAAGTTATCTATGTAGTTAGTGTTCCGAATATATTTGCAAGAGTCTTATCAGAATGCTACTTCTCTACAAGATGGAGAAACCGGCGTATATACCTAACGAACGTAATTAATTGGAACAAGAAACTCGCGAATAGGAATTCATTCTGTGAAATTGAATTCGAAATTGTCGAAATGATGAATTGGATTGAAAATGTTTGAATTATTTTCAATCCGTTTCCGCTCACATTTACTATCACTTTAATATTCCTCGCAAATGATTAAATATCACTCCCCTCTATTAATTTCTTTCTAAAATAAAGCGTAGAATTATGTGAGAATGAAGCAATTTATTCCAACGTGCATTGCAATTGTTATTAAAAAGATTAATTCTGTTTTAGAAAAATTAAAGTAGAAAAAAAATTAAAAATTTTTTTAGAATTAAAAAAAGGATTTAAAGAGTTTTAAATTAATGTTTATGATTTTCAAACATTAAAGGAAAATCCACTAATGGACTGAATATTTTCTATCAATTTTTTTCTACTCCAATCATCTTTTCCGGAAATTATTTGATGAAAGAAGTGTATTTCATTCGAAATATAATGCGAAATATCGCAAAAAGCATTTTCGACAATTAAATCACGTTTCCAACAACATTCAAAAGCTGTTTTATTTGTATTATATTTTACTAGAATGAAATTTTATCAAATTTTTACAAATATTACTCTATAATCCATGACTACGTGAGCCTTAAATGAGTTGCTAATCAGTATAACACGGTCCGAATTATATTCATTGTTCGCTAAAAACTGGGCCATCTGTGATTCGGGAATTTATTTATGTTGCATAAAAATCGCTTCTCTTATCGCACAATGTTACGTATTGAATCGAGGGAGCCTAAATTTAGCGCTAATGGATTAGACTGATATCTTAAATCATGGCTCATGTTTACGTATGGGAAGCTTACTCTTGTCATATAAAAACATGCAAACTTTCGGCTCAAAATCTTGATAACTAATCTTCATAACAATTGACGTCAAGTAAAGTAAGGATGTATAAAATCATCTACAGAGTCGAAAATAATTTCTATGAAACGTTAAATTTGAAAAAATTGATAACCATTTTAATTGACAATATTTTTAGAAAATATATATTTAAAATCTTCATTTTTACTTTTACGTATTTAAAATTATTATGGATTCTCCATATTTTATTTATTTTAGTATTCTAATCTTTATATTTATTATACGGATAAAGCATTGAATTATGTCACTACTTCGTTAATTACTCGCGAACCGTGTAAATACGTAAAAATATAGAGAAAATACTTTAAATCGTTCTAAAAATTATGTGATATACATATATATTATCCTATAATTATATCCTAATATTATATTTTGATTATATTACGATTGTTAATACTTTAGTTTATTATTGTTAATACGTTAGTTCATTCTATCGGTATCAAATTTCGATTTCAGTTGCTTTTTAGAGTTTCCGTTCTAAAGAAAATCTAGTAAAAACAGTTTACACACGCATACACACATACACTCACATTGCACATTATATAACAGATGCAAATTTACCGAGAACTTGTATTAATTCTTAACTGATCGAGTTAAGCAAAACTTCATTTTATTTCTCTCGTGGAATCTTCATTATATAAATTACTGGAAAAAAGCTTTAAAAATGTTTTCTTTCTCTATCGGAGATTGAAATCTCGGTACATAATTTTCAAGTACAATAATTGGCTTGGAAGGCACTTTTTAAATTTGCCTACACTTTTACACGTCAAGTTCAACTTTAAGAAAAGAAAATTATTAAATTCTTACGCGAGATGCACAGGAAGAAGGATCTAGCAAACCGAGCTAGCTTTACATTACAAACGTATCTCAAACATCCTGAAATATTATCTAGTTTCCCGGAGTGAAAGAGTTATTAAGGGAGTTATTACTCTCATAGAGCGCACGGAGGAGCCAGCGGAATCATTAGTCTTACGTAAGCGTTACAAATGCGTCCTTCTCAAGCACGTCTATTAGCCATTTATTTTCGTTAGCTAAACAAAAGAGAGAAATCAGGTGAGATTAGCGCGCGCGTCAACCGATAAAAACGTCGAGGATTCAATTCGCGAGAAAGACCGCGCGAATAGTGACCCTCCGGAGTACCGGCCATACGTACGCACCTATGTACGGTATTCGCACGGTAATTGTACAGACAGCGTGCGGCTTCTCCATTTGAATAATTTCATCTAAGCAAGGACGTGTACTCACCAGGGACGTGGTGCTCGGGTGGCTGGTAGGTGCAGTCGCAACGATCTCGTCGAACAAACGCTCGTCTCTGCGATCGTCGATGACGGATGCTGATTACGAGGGGAAGGGCGTGTCCCTTCTCGACGCCGAATGCCTGGTAATCGTAAATATGACGATCGGCTTGACGGCTCGCAGAAGTCCTCGCGCGCCGATCATCGTCCTGGATCGCGTTCGAGCCCGGTCATCGGGGATTCGCCGATTCCCGTGCTTGTCGTCGATCGTCGATCGATGGATCGAGCCTCGCACTTTCTTCGGTTATATCGATCGACCCGATCACCGCGCGATGATTCTACAAGATCCGATAGAAACTTTGCGAGGAGATGTACTCGAGCCTAACGATGCACTTTGCGAAACTTTAATTATTGCCGGGAGACATTCGAGAAAGAGAGAGCAAGAGAGAGAGAGAGAAAGAGAGAGAGAAAGAGAGGGATGATACCTTCGTGCAAACTCCCTTTACCTCTCTAAGCGTTTGGATAATTTGTGTGTTTATTTTAGAATCGTCTCTCGTAAACGCGTAATATCTCGCGTATACACGCTCGGTTGTTTTATCAACGAAACACTTTACTTATCTCGACATCTTTGCTTCTCGACGCGAGTTAATCGATGCCGGTATGAAAATCCCAAGTGTTAATCGCAGCTAACGATGTCGCGTGACAATTGACGAGAAGTTGACGCATTTCGCGGCACAAGTGGCTCGGCGCTGCCAACTTGGCGATGCTTAGCGTTAAAAATGAAAATAGAAACTTTGCGATAATAATATTGCAACGCGCTTATTCAAATATACCGTATAATGAACAATAATACAAACGCGAATCAAAATTACCGCGGTGCAAAAACATTTCACACCGATTCTAGAATTAAAAAAAAATATAAAAAATATATATAAAAATATTGCAAAAATTCTACACGGTGTTCTTCGATGAAAAAGCTATTTTTGAAGGAAAGGATCACCTCTCGACTAAACGGTGTTCCATCTTGACCCGTACAGGAAATCGAATTTTCGAATCACTCACGAGAAGTCTTATTATCCCGCGCTTTTCTACAGATAATATATACAACGAGCGACCGGACTCATAATCGTCGTCGAACACGTGGTGATCTCGAGATCGGCGCCGCGTGTATTCTCGAAGCCGCTGTTATCGCGACCCGGCTGTCTTCCCGACGCCCGACACTCTTTTGGCGCGATTCGTCCCCCTCGCGGAAAAGTTCAGAGGGCGCGCGTCCCCTCCCCCTGTCGTCGCGCTTCCTTGTTATCGCGCGCGAAAATCGAGGAAAAGCGGCCGGTTTGACGATGACTCGCGGCAAACGGATGAACGATGGCAGAATGAACGAGAGAAGAAAAGATGAGCGCGGTACCTGCTTGAAGAGTTCGGCGAAACACGCGGACGCGCAGCTGCTACTAAACTCCTGCTCCAGCGGGCGCGAACCAAACGTCAACTCGAAGTGCGCGCGCCGCCGAGAAACTGGCGGCAATGAATAGACAGCCCCCCGCCGACGACGGCGACGACGATGACGATGACGACGACGACGACGACGATGTCTCCCGCGATCGCCAAATAAAACAGTCCCACAGGGTTGTTCCTTTCTTCTTAACTTCCTGCTCCCCTAAAATCCCTCTCGATTAATTTCCTCGCAAGATTCAACACTATAGGGAAATTTTATGTGGGAAAAAACGCGCGAAAACTTTGACAATTAATTTGTACTCTGATCGATTCGGATGACTCGTTTATTTCGTTTGATGAAATTTTTATTAAAATGTTCGGAATCGGATTTTATAATAATATTAACTAGAAATATCTAGAAGATATTTAGAAAAACTAGAAATGTCTGAGAAAAATGCAGCGTCTCGCGATAAATTATTGTGCAGAAAAATGTAATGATTATTGCGAGAATTTATTATACTTTAGCTTTTCGCGACGTTAATATTAGATATTTAGATATCAATTAGATATTTAGAGATTATTAGAAATTATTGGATATCAATAGTTAATAAATTTTTAACAGTATTCATCCAATTAAAGATCTCTAAATTAAATGCAAGTTTTCGATGTTACATTGAGATATTTTTTCCTCACTTTATTTTATCATTTGAATCGCATTTTTCTTAATAAGGAAAGAATATTTTCAGAAAAAGTCAGTACATTTTACGCTTTATGAAGAAAAGAAGGGAGAAAACATGTACCAGAAGGAACACACAATAGAGAAGTTGTAGAAAGAAAAAGCAAATTGGAAGGAACATTAAAGTTTTATTTTTCCTAGCCATATTTTCTCTCTTGCATTTTCTTACATCTAGTCCATTAAAAGCTTGTAATATCTCAAAGTTCTTTTCAGAAATCGCGCGTTATAAAACGTTCGATATATTTTGCCGGAAAATACAATTACGACGATATGATTCTTAGCTTAATCCAAGGCAAAACATTGTTGTTGCCGAACGTATAACGATATATATAAAAGCGAATCTATATTTTTCTATAGAACTAAAGGAATACAGGAAGGTTATATATAATTTTGTGTACATATAAAATATTATAATTCATTTTTATGGCAGTAAAACATTGCCAAAATTACTTACGTTATTTCGCTCGCCGAACATGCGTCTCTACATATGTTGCTCGCACTTGAGTACATATTGAGCGTGTGTATTGAAGAAGAAACGCACAAGTACAAGTAATTTGACGACCATCTATTACAGATCTTGTATTTGTTTTACATACGCGTCACTCATTAATAATTTGCCCGTATCTATGATATAAATCGGCCAATTAAACAAATTTACGATCCCGCGAATATACGCATGATTAATTATAAATATGACTAATGCGATACGCATGCGCGTGTTTGACTGCCAGACACTCTGGGTAATCTTTTTATCATATATGCTACGTTGCCGATTGCTACTAATATTATTGACTGCCATTGACATTATCGATTGTTAATATGATGCAAGTTCGTTTTCGTCGATAAAAAACTTTTTCGATAAATATAAAGATATAATATTAATTAATTGCAAATTAATAGTCTGCAATTTGCTCATTATACAATTTATAGGCATATATATGTATATAATGTGCAATGAATTTATATTCATTTATTTACATAATTACATTAATAAAAAATTGACAACGCAAGATTTTGTATAGCTATAAAAAGTTGACATCTCACTCTTCTTTAACATCTCCTTGAAAGTATTATTGTGATAATATGACACTCTATAAAGCTACGCGAAATTGTATTTTATATATATTTATTCTGTTATCTGAATTAATATTAACAAGTGGATAAGTATCTTTTTTAATTTCCATTGAAAGCTTTTCACGGAAGCTAATATTCTCAGTCTCCTTGAGATACGTATTAACTATTTGTTCATTGTGATAAAATTTAAAAAATACTAACGATTAATCTATCTCTATTACAATTAAAAATATATAATAAAATAGATGACTTTTGCATGATCCTCTCAGAGATTTGTAGCTTTGCTGCATTATTGTATTGTACATATGTATGTGTAAAAACTTTTATCAGAAAATACCTCTTTGATGGAAATATACCACCGTGTTGTACATGTGGGACAAGTTAAGTCAGTTAATAAACTGATAAATTGTCGACAAATATACGAGGGGTATAAAGACGAAGATTTTTCTCAATTCCAGTTATTTCTATTCGATTGCATAGTTATTTCTTCAAAACCTCTCGTATCTCGATCACGCGCTCTCTCAGCCAATCACAGGCTGCACATCACTCAGCCAATCACAGGCCGCACGTCATCTGCACCGTCGACTCTAACGCCACATCGATATAGCCTTGATACCAGGGAGGAAGCTAGGGGAATGCCAATGGCGGCGGAAGGTAAGGCTTACGCCTTACAATAATTCACTTTTATTCGACGGCAATAGTTTACAGAAGAAGAATGTCTAATACCGTAGAAATAAAATCGTGTCTTGAAACAAAGACTGTTATTGACGTCGTCAATAGTAATAATGACATTTACAAATTGCTCTCGTTCGAAGAAGTGAAAGAAATAACGAAACGTGTATTGAACGACGACGTTACTATGATGGAATATGTCATTCAATCATATTCCGATGGCAAACTCGGGTATCTTGGTTCTCATTATCGTCTCGACGTAACAACTTCGGCGAAAAAAGGAGAAATTGTCGATTTCTCGCTCTTTCTCAAGACTATACCCTACGAAGTGCCCGAACAAGCCGAGTACGTGATAAAGACGCGTGTCTTCGAACGTGAGATCCAATTTCACGGTATTATAATGCCGCTGCTCCGCGAGGGATATCACGGGAAGCCATGGGCTCCAACATGTTACAAGATGACGGACAATTTCATGGTCTTCGAAGACTTGGGTTGTCAAGATTATTCGACGCGAAACAAGCTCTTCGACGAGACGTTGGTGCGCGCGGGTTTAAGTACTATCGCGCGGCTGCACGCTGCTTCTTTGTTGGCGGAGACTCGCCTCGATGTACCCTTCAATCAATTGCATCCTGATGCTTTTACAGAGATATGCTACGCTCGTGACGAGAACAGGCGAAAGTGGTTGGAAATAGGTTTCAACGTGGCCGTATCCATAGCCGAAAATCATGGATACGATCCTCATTTGGTACGCGCAGCTTGCGAGCGGATATATGACATTGTAAACCTGTCATGCACGAAGACGAACGTAGTCAGTCACGGGGATCTCTGGGGCAACAATATTATGTTCAATAATGACATGCCACCCAATTGCTTGTTAGTAGATTATCAACTAGTGAGATACTGTCCTCTAGCACATGACATTGCACAGTTTCTGTATCTGTGTACGGATCGAAATTTCCGTAAAGCTCGGGAAAGCGCGATGTTGCAGTACTATTACGAAACGTTATGTAAGATCTTGGACGAGCACGAGTCGCCTCGAAAACCCGCCTGGTCAGAAGTAGTCGAGGGCATGGAGGAGCAACGTTTGGGCGCTATTATTACCGCAGTGATCATTTTCCCTACGGTTCTGATAGAAGAGAATATCGGCGCACAAATCTTGGGCAATTCGGCGTCTTATACCGAATTCTCTTTTGGAGATAGAATGAAATTTGTCTCGTCAGTCATGAAGCAAGATTCGGTCTACGAGAGAAGGATTAACGAAACCGTCATCGAATTGGCCGAACTCGCTTCACGACTAGATCAATTACCAAAACCGTCTTAAATTCAAATAGGTAACAAACATACAATTGACTCTTACACATATTTTAAATCTTTTCATTCCGTTGAAACAGTATTTCAGCAGTATTTTGCAGTATTTCAATTAATAGAAGAAGACTCATTTGTTGACTCATTTTTGAGGATTGCTCAGTTTATCTCATTGTAACATTTTCCCGCAATTTTTCCATGAATCAATGGACAATGTTATTTTGATTATGAAGTACAGTAAATAGGAAGGAGCAATCGTGACTAATAAGCTATACGTTCAATTCCGTATCCTCATCTTATGTTTCGTTGGTCGGTGTGACTGCGGATTTCGTCGACCGCGATATCCTCTTTATCGTCTAAATTTGAGAGATCATCTCGAGCTGAATCAGCGCTGTCTCTGAAAAATTACAAGAAGGTTAATATGATGCTGCGTACAAGCATTCAAGTACGATAACTTTAATGTAAGTAATTGCAGTCGCGTTAATCTTATATATACCTAGAGTTTTCGGTGTTTTTTAAACAATTTCTGTAGGATTGTTGTCCTGTCAACGACAAGATGAGTGATGAGCGTAGCTCATCGGCGACAAAGTATGAGCTGATACGCTGAGCAACTGAAAAAAGAAAAAAGAGAATAATGATATTAAATGTGCAAAAGTAGAATTGAGATCGATTCGATTCAGGATTTTACCAGTTAAAGAAGAAGCTTTATATACTGACAAAAGGTAAAACCGTTCGAGAGTAAATGATCAACTAATTAGTTTTAAGGCTGACGCAACGAACGTCTCAGTGATAATTTGTGCAATTCCCGTAATTTTCTACTTCAGATCTAGATTAATCCGTCTCTGTCGCAACCCACACGAATATTCTTCGTTACGTGTACATTTTAGCGACAAACGAATATATTACTGTAGTTAAGACACAAAGTGTGCAAGAGAATGAGTGCGCTTAAAAATGATTAAAAAATTATTTTTTTAAGAGAAAAATAAATATATTTTTTGAAACACATTTTAAGCTGTAAAATGATTTTGATTTCGTCTAAATGCTTTAAACATGTTTAACATATAAGCAAAATTTTTGGAAAAACTTCATGTTTTTCGATCCTTCTTGGAAACCACTAATCCGATTGTATTATCATTTTTTTAAATCTATTCAGAAATAAATTAAGTATGATTTAATCATTCAGTTTAAAAAATTATAATTTTATCAAAAATTACAAACACAAATTAAATTTGCTAAAAGGGTTGACTTTATTCAAATTATATTAAATTAAAATTCACTAAGATCTTAGTGCAAAGTACCGATTAAAATATACTCAAACATATAGAGAATATGAAAAGATTGATTCATATATATTAATTCAATGTTGAGACGAAAAATATGAAGATAAGTAGTTTTTGCCATGATTTCGCAACTGCATTTGCTCTTTTAATCTTGTCACTTAAAAATAACACATCACTGTTCATATATGCTATCAAAAAGTTTTATTCCATATTGAATAAATATTTTCAATACAAAAATTGCGCAAGTGAATAAATATTAGAATAGAATATTTTCCACACAAGACTAGTCCAAAATTACACACTATAGAATTATCGTAATACAAGTATCTCTTTTATCAGATCACAAAAATTTATTACTCTTCATAAACAGCTTATTTCATTTCTTGCGGCAATAACTGTATTATTGATGCATCTGGGACATGTCTTTTTTTATATGCTTTTTTATATGCTTGTATGATTTCAATAGCACAAGAAATGTATGGAAATTTTGATCAAACTCTATGACAAGTTTTCCTGTTGACATTTCATCAACGATTTTTTATCGGAGTAATGCCTTGACAACGCAAGATTTAGTATGGCTATAAAAAGATCTCACCCTTCTTTAACATCTCCTTAAAAGTATTATTGTGAAAATATGACACTCTATAAAACTACGCGAAATTGTATTTTATATACATTTGTATTCTGTTATCTGAATTAATATTAACAAGTGGATAAGTATCTTTTTCATTTTCCATTGAAAACCTTTCACGGAAGCCAATCCAGCAAACAACACCAAGTAACAGTTATATAAATGTTAGTTGCAATTTTCCACTCAATAATATAACTGTTATATAATTTACATGTTAACAGTTATATTGTTGAGTAAGAAATTGCAACTAACACTTATATAACTGTTAGTTGATATTTGCTGGGAATATTCTCAGTCACCTTGAGATACGTATTAACTATTTGTTCATTGTGATAAAATTTAAAAAATACTAATGATTAATCTATCTCTATTACAATTAAAAATATATAATAAAATAAATGACTTTTGCATGACCCTCTCAGAGATTTGTAGCTTTGCTGCATTATCGTACTATACATATGTGTATATATGTGCAAAAACTTTTATCAGAAAATACTTCTTTGATGGAAATATACCACCGTGTTGCACATGTGGGACAAGTTAAGTCAGTTAATAAACTGATAAATTGTCGACAAATATACGAGGAGTATAAAGACGAAGAATTTTCTCAATTTCAGTTATTTCTATTCGATTGCATAGTTATTTCTTCATAGTTCACTTTTATTCGACGGCGATAGTTCACAGAAGAATGTCTAATACCGTAGAAATAAAATCGTGTCTTGAAACAAAGACTATTACTGACGTTGTCAATAGTAATAATAACATTTACAAATTGCTCTCGTTCGAAGAAGTGAAAGAAATAACGAAACGCGTATTGAACGACGACATTACTATGATGGAATATGTCATTCGATCATATTCCGATGACAAACTCGGATATCTTGGTTCTCATTATCGTCTCGACGTAACAACTTCGGCGAAAAAAGGAGAAATTGTCGCTTTCTCGCTCTTTCTCAAGACTATACCCTACGAAGTGCCCGAACATACCGAGTACGTGTTAAAGAAGCGCGTCTTCGAGCACGAGTTCAAATTTCACGGTACCATAATGCCGCTCCTCTGCGAGGGATATCACGGAAAGCCATGGGCTCCAACATGTTACAAGGTGACGGACAATTTCATGGTCTTCGAAGACTTGGGCCGCAAGGGTTATTCGACACGAAATAAACTCTTCGACGAGACGTTGGTGCGCGCGGGTTTAAGATCTATCGCGCGGCTGCATGCTGCTTCTTTGTTGGCGGAGACTCGCCTCGATGTACCCTTCAATCAATTGCATCCTGACGCTTTCATAGAGACAAACTTCGCTCGTAACGAGCACACGCGAGAGTGGTTGGAAATAGGTTTCAACGTGATCGTATCCATAGCCGAAAATCATAGATACGATCCTCATTTGATACGCGCAGCTTGCGAGTGGATATATGACATTACGAAGCCGTCATGCGCGAAGACGAACGTAGTCAGTCACGGGGATCTCTGGGGCAACAATCTTATGTTCAATAATGACATGCCACCCAATTGCTTGCTAGTAGATTATCAAACAGTGAGATACTGTCCTCTAGCACATGACGTTGCACAGTTTCTGTATCTGTGTACGGATCGAAATTTCCGTAAAGCGCAGGAAAGCGCGATGTTGCAGTACTATTACGAAACGTTATGTAAGATCTTGGACGAGCATGAGTCGCCTCGAAAACCCGCCTGGTCAGAAGTAGTCGAGGGCATGGAGGAGCAACGTTTGGGCGCCGTTATTACCGCGCTGATCATTTTGCCTCTGGTTCTGATGAAAGACAATATTGGCACACAAATCATGGACGATTCAGGGTCTTATACCGAATTCTATTTTGGAGATAGAATGAAATTTGTCTCATCGTTCATGAAGCAAGATTCGGTCTACGAGAAAAGGATCAACGAAACCGTCATCGAATTGGCCGAACTCGCTTCACGACTAGATCAATTACCAAAACCGTCTTAAATTCAAATATGTAACAAACATACAATTGACTTTTACGCATATTTTAAATCTTTTCATTCCGTTGAAACAGTATTTCAGCAGTATTTTGCAGTATTTCAATTAGCAGAAGAAGACTCATTTTTGAGGATTGCTCAGTTTATCTCATCGTAACATGGCTATTTTTCCATGAATCAATGGACAATGTTATTTTGATTATGAAGTACAGTAAATAGGAAGCAATCGTGACTGATAAGCTGTATGTTCAATTACATTCAAGTACGTATCCTCATCTTACGTATCGTTAGTCGGTGTGACTGCGGGTTTCGTCGACCGCGATACCCTCGTTATGGCCTAAATTTGAGAGATCATCTCGAGCTGAATCAGCGCCACTGTCTCTGAAAAATTACAAGAAGATTAATATGATACTGCGTACAAGCATTCAAGTACAATAACTTTAATGTAAATAATTTGCAGTCGCGTTAATCTTATATATACCTAGAGTTTTCGGTGTTTTTTAAACGATTTCTAGAGGATTGTTGTCCTATCAACGACAAGATGAGTGATGAGCGTAGCTCATCGACGACAAAGTATGAGCTGATACGCTGAGCAACTGAAAAAAGAAAAAAGAGAATAATGATATTAAATGTGCAAAAGTAGAATTGAGATCGATTCGATTCAGTATTACCAGTTAAAGAAGAAACTTTATATACTGATAAAAGTCGGTAAAACCGTTTGAGAATAAATGGTCAACTAATTAGTTTTAAGGCTGACGTAACGAACGTCTCAGTGATAATTTTTGCAATTCCCGTAATTTTCTACTTCAGATCTAGATTAATCCGTCTCTGTCGCAACCCACACGAATATTCTTCGTTACGTGTACATTTTAGCGACAAACGAATATATTACTGTAGTTAAGACACAAAGTGTGCAAGAGAATGTGTGCGCTTAAAAATGATTAAAAAATTTTTATTTTTTTAAGAGAAAAATAAATATATTTTTTGAAACACATTTTAAGCTGTAAAATGATTTTGAATTCGTCTAAATGCTTCAAACATGTTTAACATATAAGCAAAATTTTTGGAAAAACTTCATGTTTTTCGATCCTTCTTGGAAATCATTAATCCGATTGTATTATCATTTTTTTAAATCTATTCAGAAATAAATTAAGTATGATTTAATCATTCAGTTTAAAGAAATTATAATTTTATCAAAAATTACAAACACAAATTAAATATGCTAAAAGAGTTAACTTTATTCAAATTATATTAAATTAAAATTCACTAAGATCTTAGTGCAAAGTACCTATTAAAATATACTCAAACATATGATAGAGAATATGAAAAGATTGATTCATATATATTAATTCAATGTTGAGACGAAAAATATGAAGATAAATCGTTTTTGCCATGATTTCGCAACTGCATTTGCTCTTTTAATCTCGTCACAGCTTAAAAATAACCTCACCGTTCATATATGCCATCAAGAATTTTTATTCCATATTGAATAAATATTTTCAATACAAGAATTGCGCAAGTGAATAAATATTAGAATATTTTCCACACAAGACTAGCCCAAAATTACACACTATAGAATTATCGTAATACAAGTATCTCTTTTATCAGATCACAAAAATTTATTACTCTACATAAACAGCTTATATCATTTCTTGCGGCAATAATTGTATTGTTGACGCATCTGGGACATGTCTTTTTAAATTTCTCCGGAGAACCGATCATAGGTACGTACATATGTACGGTATTCACACGGTAATTGTATAGACAACGTGCGGCTTCTCCATTTGAATAATTTCATCTAAACAAGGACGTAGCTCACCAGGGACATACTCGGGTTGCTGGTAGGTATAGCCGCGACGATCTCGTCGAAAACGCTCGTTTCTACGATCGTCGATGATGGATGCTGATTACGAGGAAGAGTGTATCCCTTATCGCCGCCGAATACCCAGTAATCGTAAATATAACGATCGGTCTAAGAGCAAGAACCCATAGAAGCCCTCGCGCTGATCGTCATCCTGGATCGCGTTGAAGCCTGGTCATCGGAAAGGCCGATTCCCGCGCTTGTTATCGTCGATAGATGTATCGAGCCTCACACTTTCTTCGATTATATCGTATGATGAATTTGTGTATATATAAAATATATTATTACAATTCTTTTTTATGTGGGTAAAATATCGCTAAAATTACTTACGTTATTTCGCTCGCCGAACATGCGTTTCAACATATGTTGCTCGCATTTGAGTACATATTAAGCGTGCGCATTGAAGAAGAAATGCACAAATACAAGTAATAATTGAACAACCATCTATTACAGATCTTGTGTTTGTTTTACATATGCGTCACTCATTAATAATTTGCCCGTATCTATAATATAAATCGGCCAATTAAACAAATTTACGATCTCGCGAATATACGCATGATTAATTACAAATATGACGCATGCGATGCGCATGCGCGTGTTTGACTGCGAGACACGTTGGATAATCTTTTTTGACAAGTATGCTACATTGCCGATTGCTACTAACATTATTGACTGCCACTGACATTATCGACTATTAGTATGATTCAAATTCATTTTTATCGACAAGATGAATTTAAAGATCATGACATATGTTCTATTTCATAAATTATTTGCAGATTAATAGTCTGCAATTTGCTTATTATGTAATTTACAGGCATATACGTATATAATGTACAGCAAATTTATATTCATATATTTACATAATTATACTAGTAAAAAATAAAAAATAAAAAATTAAGCAATACTAGTAAAAAATAAAAAATTAAGCAAAAACTATTAAATTATTAATATATATATATCATATATTATTTGTAAACAATAAATTATTACAAAAACATTTTTTAGCAATAACTCACTATTAATACTTAACTGTTTCTTTACATTAAGCATCAAGTTATATTTTAAGCTTCTTAATTCAATTACGAAAAAATAATTTTATTATCGATTATTGAGATAAAGTGTTGACTGATATTAGTAGGATGCACTTTAAAACGTTCAATTATCCACATGTAATAGATGACAGAGATGTAGCGTCTTTGATTTATTAAGTTTAATTAGTAAAAATTAAAACATAGTTTTTATTACACTTTTCGTTTGAATATTATACATCTTTTTTTATATGTTTGTACGATTTCAATAGCACAAGAAATATATGGAAATTTTGATCAAACTCTATGACAAGTTTTCCTGTTGACATTTCATCAACGATTTCTTATCGGAGTAATACTTTGACAACGCAAGATTTGATATTGCTATAAAAAGATCTCACTCTTCTTTAACATCTCCTTAAAAGTATTATTGTGAAAATATGACACTCTATAAAACTACGCGAAATTGTATTTTACATTTGTATTCTGTTATCTGAATCAATATTAACAAATGGATAAGTGTTTTTTTTATTTTCCATTGAAAGCCTTTCACGGAAGCTAATATTCTCAATCTCCTTTAAATACCGTATTAACTATTTGTTCATTGTAATAAAATTTAAAAAATACTAATGATTAATCTATCTCTATTATAATTAAAAATATATAATAAAATAGATGACTTTTGCATGACCCTCTCAGAGATTTGTAGCTTTGCTGCATTATTGTATTGTACATATGTATATATGTGTAAAAACTTTTATCAGAAAATACTTCTTTAATGGAAATATACCGTGTTGCATACATGGGACAAGTTAAGTCAGTTAATAAATTGATAAATTGTCGACAAATATACGAGGGGTATAAAGACGAAGAATTTTCTCAATTTCAGTTATTTCTATTCGATTGCATAGTTATTCCTTCATAGTTCACTTTTATTCGACGGCGATAGTTTGCAGGAGAAGAATGTCTAATACCGTAGAAATAAAATCGTGTCTTGAAACAAAGACTATTACTGACATTGTCAATAGTAATAATAACATTTACAAATTGCTCCCGTTCGAAGAAGTGAAAGAAATAACGAAACGTGTATTGAACGACGACGTTACTATGATGGAATATGTCATTCAATCATATTCCGATGGCAAACTCGGATACCTTGGTTCTCATTATCGTCTCGACGTAACAACTTCGGCGAAAAAAGGAGAAATTGTCGCTTTCTCGCTCTTTCTCAAGACTATACCCTACGAAGTGCCCGAACAAGCCGAGTACGTGATAAAGAAGCGTGTCTTCGAACGTGAGATCCAATTTTACGGTATTATAATGCCGCTGCTCCGCGAGGGATATCACGGGAAGCCATGGGCTCCAACATGTTACAAGGTGACGGACAATTTGATGGTCTTCGAAGACTTGGGTTGCAAAGGTTATTCGACGCGAAACAAGCTCTTCGACGAGACGTTGGTGCGCGCGGGTTTAAATTCTATCGCGCGGCTGCACGCTGCTTCTTTGTTAGCGGAGACACGTCTCGACGTACCCTTCAATCGATTGTATCCCGACACTTTCACAGAGAGAGCCTTTACTCATGACGAAGAGACGCGAAAGTGGTGTGAAGTAGGTTTCGATATGGGCGCATTAATAGCCGAAAATCATGGATACGACCCTCATTTGATACGCTCAACTTGCGAACGAGTATATGACATTGTAAACCCGTCATGCACGAAGACGAACGTAGTCAGTCACGGGGATCTCTGGGGCAACAATCTCATGTTCAATAATGATATGCCACCCAATTGCTTGCTAGTAGATTATCAACTACTGAGATACTCTCCTCTAGCACATGACGTTGCACAGTTTCTGTATCTGTGTACGGATCGAAGTTTCCGTAAAGCGCGGGAAAGCGCGATGTTGCAGCACTATTACGAGACGTTGTGCAAGGTCTTGGACGATCATGAATCGCCTCGGAAACCCGCCTGGTCAGAAGTGATCGAAGGTATGGAGGAGCAACGTTTGGGCGCTGTTATTACCGCGGTGGCCTATTTTCCTACAGTTCTGATGGAAGAGAATATTAGCGCACAAATCTTGGGCGATTCGGCGACTTATACCGAGTACTGTTTCGGAGATAGAATGAAATTTGTCTTGCCGATTATGAAGCAAGACTCGGTCTACGAGAGAAGAATCAACGAAGCCGTCATCGAATTGGCCGAACTCGCTTCACAATTAGATCAATTACCGAAACCGTCTTAAATTCAAACACATTATAACAAACATACAATTGGCTCTTACGCATATTCTAAATCTTTTCATTCCGTTGAAACGTTTCGCAGTATTTCAATTAGCAGGAGAAGACTTATTCATTGACTCATTTTTGAGGATTGCTAAGTTTATGATCTCATCGTAACATGGCTCTTTTTCCATGAATCAATGGACAATATTATCTTGATCAGGAAATACAGTAGATAGGAAGGACCAATCATGATTGATAAGTTGTATGTTCAATTCATCCGTATCCTCGTCTTCGTTGGTCGGTGTGACTGCAGGTTTCGTCGGCCGCGATACCTCGTTATCGCTTAAATCTGAGAGATCATCGCGAGCTGAATCAGCGTCACTGTCTCTGAAAAATTACAAGAAGATTAATATATGACACTGCGTACAAGCATTCAAGTACGATAACTTTAATGTAAGTAATTTGTAGTTGCGTTAGTCTTATATATACCCAGAGTTTTCGGTGCTTTTTAAACGATTTCTCGAGGATTGTTGCCCTGTCAGCGACAAGATGAATGATGAGCATAGCAATTTCATCGGCGGCAAAGTATGAGCCGATACGCTGAGCAACTGGAAAAAGAAAAAAGAGAATTATTATATTAAACTTGCACAAGTAAAATAGAGATTCGATTCCGAGAATTACTATAGTTGATGAAGAAACTTTATATACTAAATATAAAAGTCGGTAAAACCATTCGAGAATAAATGAACTATCAACTAATTAGTTTTAAGGCCGACAAACGTCCCAGTGAAAATTTGTGCAATTCCCGTAATCTTCTACTTCAGATCTAGGTTGATCTGTCTCTGTTGCAACCCACACGAATATTCTTCGTAACGTGTACATTTTAGCGACAAACGAATACATTACTGTAAAATGTGCAAGAGGATGAGTGCGCTTGAAAATGACTAAAATATTAAGATTTCTTTTACTTTTTCAAGACAAAAACTGATTTTCTCTAAACACACTTTAAGCTATATAAAATGATTTTATGTCTGAATGCTTAAAATATGTTTAACATATAAGCAAAATTTTTGGAAAAATTTTGTTTTTCGATCGTTATATATCCTTCTTGGAAATCACTACTCCGATTGCATTATCATTTTTTAAAATCTATTTAGAAATAAATTAAGTATGATTTAATCATTCGGTTTAAAGAAATAATAATTTTGTCAAAAGAAACACAAATGTTAGAAACAAATTAAATTTGCTAAAAAGGTTGCTTTTATTCCAATTATATTAAATTAAAATTCACTAAGATCTTACTTGGTGCAAAGTACCGATTAAAATATACTCAAACATATGATAGAGAATATGAAAAGATTGATTCATATATATTAATTCAATGTTGAGACGAAAAATATGAAGATAAGTAGTTTTTGCCATGATTTCGCAACTGCGTTTGCTCTTTTAATCTTGTCACCGCCTAAAAATACGCATCAAGGTTCATATATGCCATCAAGAATTTCCATTCGTGAATAAATATTTTCAATACAATCGCGCAAGTGAATAAATATTTTCCATACAAGACTGACGCAAAATTACACACCACAGAATTATCGTAATACAAGTATCTCTTTTATCAGATCGCAAAAATTTATTACTCTAGATAAACATCTTATTTCATCTCTTGCGGCAATAATTGTATTGTTGATGCATCTGGGGCATGTCTTTTTAAATTTTCCACTTTTAGAATGACGCAAGTGTGATTTCAGTTAAATTTCAAGGAACCGACAATGACGACAATAATGACGAAATTGCGAAAAACGAGGCGGCTGGAGAGTGTAGTTTATTATCGTTACAATCGAGACAATTACCAGGACCACGCATAATGTCTGGCCTTTCCTTACGTCTTTATTCACGTAGTGGATGCGGTCATTAAAGATATGCGCGTTAACAATACGTTAAACGTGGAAAACAAGATATCCTATTCACTATTTTCGACGCGAAAATGTTATTTTTAGAGCGGAAGTGTCTCACAGTCTATTTAATCCGAATGGTACTTTAATAACTATATAATTACTTAAGAGATGTCACGCAATGTGTGGATGAATATATATTTAAATAATGCCTGTGGAAACATGTTTTGTATGTTTTGTTTGCTAGAATTATAAATAAGAAATAGAATAAGGAAATAAAGTAAGAATATTGTAATTTCAATGATGAAAATATACATCATAAGAGACAAGTATAGAAAAGTTTTAATTGTCATTTAAAGATATTAAAAAAATTTTGTAAATTACTGGTAACGATATCAGATTGAGACAAATCGAAATTTTACGTTCTATGTCGATGTGACATTTTATTAGCAGGTGTCAATGGCAACAATCGAAACGGTCGTCAAAGAAGATAAGACATTGTTCCTGCTGGCCTGATTTTACGTTTGCGAGAAATCCGAGACAATTCTGCGACGGCATCGTTTGTTGTGTGAAAGAGATTCTATTGTAATCAATGCTGGCGAAATATTTCGATAACCAAAAAGAGAGATATGAATTTTTGTAACGTTATTTGTTGTCAAAGTAATATCTTTTAATGAGATTAGTGCTTATCTGAAGCCAATTTCAATCTTTTTAATGACATATCTATTTTGCGTGATGTCAACAACTTTAAAATCGTCCCTAAGTCAATAAAAATATTCAAACTTAAATGCCTGAATGATTAGAAACAGGAGATTATTCTAGATTCGCTTACATACTTATAAGTACTGTATGAAATACTGTGCTCTAAAGAAAATAGATCATTTATTTAAAAAAAAAAGAAAAAGAAGAATTTAATCTTGTTATAGTAATCTCGTAATACTAATCTCGTTATGAAATATTTCTCCAATGTCGAATGAAATGCTTTAATTAAAATAAAACATCCTCTACGTATCTCCTGCATTACAGATAAAAATGAATTCAACGAGTCCTGCCTGCTCATGATATTCAATCATATTCAAGGACACGCACTTGAAATCAGGACGGTATACCGTGTATACCTCGTTTTCATCAGGGATGAATAGCTAACAAAGTTGCCTTTAACGCGTCCGAGTCTCTGATAGCGATGGAATAGCACGTTACGTCCCGCGCGTAACTAATTTCGATAAATTCCTCGGCATACAAGGTACATCCTCAGCACGAGATATTTCGCGAGTTTATTTTCGAAACGGATTAATTATTCGACACGGACGCGATGCATTCGATTACATCGAGCGACCGGCATCCGTCCTTATCTATCTTTTCCAATACTGAACCGCCTCACTCCGTTCAATTTGTCGGGCCACTTTCCGCCCACGCGAAGAAAAGGCAAGACGACTGATAACATTCATCGTTGCAAAACGTTAAAATCTATACATATAAGAATACACAATGAACAGGTGCTCTTGCAGCGCGCCGAAGCTACAGAGATGTAGCTTGCGATACAGCTGTGACGCGAGAGGCATAGGATTTCCAGCGAAGTTTGCGAACTGTTGTCCAGTGGTCCTAAAGGGACGACAAATAGAACGCCGTGAGAGGGTGGGAGTTTCTATATTAAATCATGGCGAGACTTCTGCTGAAAGCCAGTCGTCCGCGGAGCGTTGGGACACACGTGAAGAGTCTTTTCTGCTGTCTTTCGATTTTTTCATCGAGAAAGATTACCGATACTATAATTTTCTGCATACAATCCTCCGGTGTATCGTCTGAACGGTTCATCGACCTCGTCGTTCGTATTGAACGAAGGCTAGGTACTACAATTAATAGTTCTGTGAAAAATTATAACGAGGAAATTTGGATTAATATTCGCACTTTTGCTTGTTGAAAGAGAAGATTATTCGAGAAGAAAAATTTCGTGAAGAGAAAGAGCAATTTAAGAAGAGAAAGAAATCCAGAATCGAGACCTTTCTTAAGCGTCTCGCCAGAAAATAGCCGGTTTCTCGAGGATGAAGCTGACTGGATTAAAGTTGGTGTTGTGCCTATTGACAACGATATTACTCGTAGCGGCTGTTTTCGGATATCCTGCTAGTAACAGTGAGGCAGTAAGTATTGCATCGCAATATCTCGTCACATTAAATAGAAATTGATATCGAAAACGATAGAGCCCGGAATTTGGGCGAATTGAATTTGACAATTTTCGATCGTTGAGCATTTCGCTGATGTAACACCCGTATTCTCACCGCATATCAATTATAAGAAATGCGGCTCTCATATTTTTCTCCACTGCACGTGGGATGTACATGATAATGTCGAAAGTATAAATGGTCGTTGAACGTTCCTCATCAAATTAATCTTTATTTGCCCGATGATGTACTTAATCATATTAAGCTGTAGGTGGTGCGTGATCTTGTAAACAGGAAGACTTTTCGCCAAGACTCTTGACCTTTTCAGAAGTTGTCCGATTTGATTTTGATTTCCAGTTGACTTTACATCCAATAATTGTTTTACGTTGAATAGTCTACTTTTCCTCTTCTTTTTACACATTCTTAGCTAATTTTTTCTTTCTCCGCGATAACTTTTTTTTATTTTTTGTTAAATAATCCTAATAATTCTGTTTAAGCTATACAATTTGCAGGCGATCGAGAACATGAGGCAGATTCCACAGTGGCATTGTCTTCGTTATAGAAAGTTTGATTTTGTTCGCCGTTGTCGAAATTATCGTTTAGGAAGGAGGCACTGACAAATGGACATTCATTACGATCCACGATTGACAGCCGCGATGTTTTACACCAAACTTCATCGTCCTATCGCGCAGAACATGCCATTCCAAGTTCTTAAGTTAAATAAGCTTAAGTTTACTTAAATTATATATTTTTAGACTATATATATGATACGTAAACGCATTCATATTAAAAAACAGAAGCTTATATTTGTTGAGTTTTGTTGAATTGAGAAAAGTCACATTAAGTGCAATTGACAATCATGACAAAAATAATATCGTACTCTTTGCAATAATTTTTACATTGATAAATCTTTATCTTTACTTATTTATAATTTCAGAATTTTCACAGAGTTCTAAAAGACTTATTTTTTCACCTATATATTTAAACTATGCATAAGTTATTAGAAATTGAAACAATTTTTTATATTATCTTTTAAGAAAATGTATAAATAACTTATTTACACGAATATGTTCTTTCATATCATTTGTTAAATATTGTTTTTCTTTTACATTTACTTTAGATTACTTTAATGTGCAAAATTTATTTTGCAAATTATGTCCATCTATTTACTTAACGTAAACTTGATCTCAATTATAATGAAAATGTACTTTCATTATCAACAAACAATAAGCAATAGCTATTTTCGTTGTATTATTAGCACATTACATGCATGCAAGAATATCGCTAATAAAAATGAAAAGAATATTAAGAATTCTACAAGTCGCGGATATTTCAAATAAATCGGACAAAATAGTCTACTTAGACTAATTTTAACTGTAAAATCTGTTTCGAATAGAAATAATCTTAAAGAAAGATTTACTATTAGATCAAATTTACATATCCTGAATTTAGAAAATTTCTACATATGTAGCGCACGATACTTGTAGAAATCTCTGTATAAAACAAATTTTAAAATTTAAAATTCCACCTACTTCTTCTACTATTCCTTTTGCCGATGTACCAAGATGTTCGTGAACTTGTGCAATGGTTTGCTCTTTACTCGAAGATGTTTGAGTTGCTATCAAATTGGAGAAAGCCGTCAATGGTATAGATCCCTTATTTGAAAGGACTTCTAAAAAAATAGCCGTTTCGGATTCTGGTTCCAATGTGAGCAACTCCTAAACAGAATATAATATATAATAGATACAATACTAATAAATAGAGTACAAATAGATAGTATTTTCAACTTAGCGTAATTTACATATCTTTTTTTTTGTATAAATTTGACATACTTGATTTGAATCCAAAAAAAATAATTGCGATTTTCGTTGCCATTGACCAAACGAAGGATTGCGTTTTTCCTGTAGATGAGGTACAAAAGCAGCCGCCAATATGAAACTAGTACTCTCGATAAGGCATGTTTTTTTGTAAACAGGTGTCGCACTTTGTGGCGTGAACACGTACACTAAAAGCATGTGAATTATTTATATTAGAAAAATACTATATAAATTTATTATATAACAATATAATAGATTATAAGATAGATTAAAAAAAGTTTTCAAAATAATTATTCTTTGAGTAATAAAACAAATAGCACATAAAAAAGCCTATTGAAACATACAACTGAAACATACATGAATTATCAGATGTAAATGCTGCCATGTATGTTGATTTTGGATCGTATGCAAGACTCACAACATTCAAGGGTACACTCCACGTTATAGCGAGAGTTAAAATATTCCAAACTGTTATGTGTTGCTGAGATGCAACTACTATAAGGTGACAGGCCTCGTGTTTACCGAATTCTATTCGTCTATTATAAGTAAATTACAATATTATGATTTTTATAATATTATTATACTTTTATATTTGATTAATTATAATTTTATATTTAATTAAGAGTATATTAAATAAGAGTATATTTAATTGATGATGACACTATTTTGTCAATTGACTTACGTTATTGGATGATTATATTGGGAATGTGTAAGACTGGATTTCAACTCACAAGTTTCAGGTACCCATATAGTTAGAGTAGAATAAAAACCAATAGCTAATAAAGAACCATCCATTGAAAAACCAGCATCTGTAGTAGCTAAATTACGATAGTCTCCTACTCCATAACAATACCAATGTTGTGTCTCTTCTACAACAAATGTAATTATCGAGTAGAAAAATGCTTTGCTCAATTTTAATGAAATTTATTTCATTAAACAATTAAATATAAAATACTTTCTATAGTAGAGGATTTTCCTAAATTCCATAATTTAAATTTGTTATCTTTTCCAGTTGTGACTGCTAACCACTCTCCATCAAATGTATCTGGTTGAAAATGTAATGCATTTATTCCATTTTCGTGAGGTAATTCAATGGATGTATTTAATACAAATCTAAAACGTTAAAAAATTATATATTAATATTTCGATTACGCTAAATAAATGCAGCGACCGAGTATATAAGTATATAAGTGTATAAGGCATTCTTACATCTGTTTGTTTACATCATACATCCAAAATTTTAATCTAACTTCTATAGATGAAATTTTATCATTTCGTTCTTCGACTGTTGCCATCCACATACCATTGTGATTAAGAGCTATTTTTGTAACTTCTGTATTTACAATAATTACATCGCGCTCTTGAGTGAGAAAATTTTGTGCAGTTATATTAATCTAGAAAGTGTATAAATATTTCATTCCTTTTTTATTTATTCTTATTTTCTGGCTTTCTTTTTATATTGTTTCAACATGAGATAAACTTTACTTACATTATACAATAGATTCTTTGTATGAGTGTTGTAAAATTGCACGTGTCCAGTTCGGCTATTTAAAACGAGACTATCTGTCCTTGGATCGACAATAAGTCCCGCGGGAAACAAGTCCTTGGACGACGAAGCAACACCCCATGTAAAGTTTTGTATCACTGATGTCAATTTTCTTTGAGGATTTACAATAACAATACCTATTGCAATCAAGATGTGTAATTAGCTGTTATAAACTTACTATTATTGGAACATTTATTGTGAAAGACAATAGAGCTTTACCATTGTCTAAAGTCGATACAGCTACATATAAATTGTCAGGCGCAATAGTGAGATGTTTAATAGGCGCTGGTAATCGTGGAAGAAAGGACTTATGTTGTGGATTTGCTAAAGTCCATTTTACTAATACACATTCACCACCACCTGTATACATATGGCCACCTGTAAAATCAATAAATGTATGTAATTAAATGTTAACTTACTAACGTACAATATACAAAAGATATTTTACAAAATTGTAACAATAAGTTTTACCTGATTTACTAAATACTATTTCTGTAACTGGCAATGTATGCCAATGAAACACAGCTGTATATGGTCTAGATTGGAATAAACTTCTCCATACAACTACACGACCAGTAGAATCTCCCGTAGCGACACATTCTTCTTCTGGATGTCCCGCTATACAAGTAGGTAATCTATTTGTGTTGCCAATCTTGTGCCTGTATCATATATTTAAAATATGATGTATCGTTTTTCAATATATATTAAACTAATTTATACAATAGTGCTTAAGAAAAAAGATCTTACAATTTATCAACTAAATTTCTAGCTGGATTTAATATGTGTAAATTTTCATCATGTAAAAGAGCTATTAAATTCTGTCCATGATTTCCAATTATATCAATATAATACTCCTGTGAATTTGTGCTAAAAATATAGAAAATAAACATACATAAAATATGAAAATATTTATGCATGCAATTATTTTACACAATTTATTTGAAAAGTAGAAAAGGAGAAAACATAAAAAATCTATTGAAAAGTTACTTACAAGATGTATATCGATTTCATACATGTTCCATTCTCTATATCAAATAAAAGTATATATATTTGGTTCCCGCAATTAGAGATATAAGTTATTAATGCTTGACATATCTCATTTCCTTGGAATGTTTTATATTTTGTAACGTGAAAAGTTTTAATTTTTGCCTTGTCATCCGCTACAGAATTTAATTGCTGCAATAATATTAAAAATATAAATATATATTTCTCCTCATAAATTCACACAAATATAAACAAATTTATGTTTAATTCAAATCTTACTAATTTCTTGGTGATAATGCCACTTTGACAGTCCCAGAAGTCTAGTTCGCCGATTTCCGTACAACCGACAATAATATTAGTATTATCCGGATGTATTATTATTCCAGCAATTCTGTAATTGGACGGCTCGAATTCTCGGACGAAATCTCCCGTTTGCGTGCTGTACACCCTTATGACATTCTTCCATACTATGTACAGAGTTCTAAAAAAATATCCTCGTATTAGGCAAAAACTAATATTGTATATTTAAATCAATTGAAAGTGCGAAGAAACTGATAAACTCACTCTCCATCACTGGAAAACAGTGGACGTTGATCGATTATACTTCCACCGCCTTTTCTTTTCACAATTAAATCGTCCGTATCAGAATGCACCATTTTTCTCGCTCCTTTCTTATTTATAAATTTATTTATTATGTGTGCGTTTTCTTTTTTTTTTTAATTGAGAATACCTTCAATTTGTAGAAATTATACTTTTTCTTCTTTCGTTCTTTTACTACATTCCATACCACATTTCAGCACACATGGGTTAGGAATCAGAGAGAAGAATAAGAGATGCCCCCTTTAAAATGTGGACATGAATTACGGAGTCAAATTGAATGTTTTCAATGGGTAATATGCACAATTTCCGGTTGTGTTCCATGCATAAAATGTCGGTAATGCGAGTGTAATTTAAGAGGCTTATGTATATTAAATTTTTAATATAAATAAATTTGTTGGGCTCTCTCTTTCTCTCTTTTTCCATTATTAATATTACTTATAACATAATCACCAGAATTAAGTTAGCGCTGGAAGTTCATATTTTTAATAGATATTGCATTATTTTATCGAATAAATTTTAACAAATAAATAATTTTACCTGATTTTACAAATGACGACGATATCATTATATGTTACCCTCTGAGTTGACTGGGCTTTGTAGTTCATGTCCACAGAAGGCGTATCGCTTTCAGGGATCACAAAAGCGGAAAGCCAATGGCCGCATTCGGCGGATTCAAACGGTAAGTAGCACTCGAACATGATTGGTTTTTACTTTTAGATCCGACCAATCAGCGTCGAATTACATTGGAAAATCTAGTAATGTTGTCCAACAATTGAGTCCGCTGAATGCGGCCATTAGTAACCTTAGGCATCGATCGATATGTGATTGGTTTTTACTTTTAGGTCCGACCAATCAGCGTCGAATTACGGAAAATTTAGTAATTTTGCTCGACTGATGAGTCCGCTGAATGCGGTCATTAGTAACCCTAGACATCAATCGATACGTGATTGGTTTTTACTTATAGATCGGACCAATCAGCGTCGAATTACATCGGAAAATCTAGTAATTTTGTTCAACTGTGGAGTTTACTAAATGCGGCCATTAGTAACCCTAGGCATCGATCGATACGAGTGACTACGGCGTGAGTGCCACTTGCAACGTGGTCAAATGGGACGCTCCCGGAAAGAGTCGTATCTTACGAATGTTGTGTTTCATGATTGAAGCGTAGTACCTTCCGTCCAGCTTTGTCAGCTGCCCACGGTTTGCATTAATTTTCAGTTTGTTTCGTCAAGTGCCGCGAATATCTATCGATATAGGGAAGAGTTAATCCCGACTTATTCCGCTGACTCAATGATGTGTATTCTCCCGTGATGCGATACATTCCGCTTGTTACTCTGCGTCTTTAACTGTGACGAGTGTACGAGCTAGTTGATGATCGTTGCCGTTATCGGGGAGAGAACGACGTGTTGATACAATGTCATTATTCAACAAACCGAAGCGAAATATACGCCGACGTCCTTTCAACGATGAGGATGAAGATAATGAAAACAGAATGGAGGCGGAGGACGCGCAGCCTGTCAAAATTAAGACGAAGAAGAAGGATAAGCCAAAGCAGACGCTCCTCAGTTTCGGAGAGGAGCTGGAACAAGGTGTATATACATGTATATCGGTCTCGTGTAAAATACGCACAATTATCGTGCACAGTAAATCTGTCTTGGCTTTTGATGAAAATATAATGTTATAACGCATAGAATAAGGTTTTACAGGGATATCTTCGTAACAAGATCTGCGATAACAAGAACAAAGATGATGCTTTGTTTTAATATATAGAAATAATTGATGCTATTTCTGGCAAATCTTAATTATTAAATATTGTACGATAAGGTATATTTTGATTGAAATTGAAAATTGAAATAAATTACAGGGGACGACGGAGAAGTTTTTATAGTCAAGAAATCATCGAGGAGCAAAAAGCTGATGAAACAGCTAGATCACGAGAGGAGGAAAAAGAAAGGTGAAGAGAAAATGCAAGTGGACACTGAGCAAGCGAATAAATCCATTAAGCAGGAAAAAGATTTAGAGATAAAGACAGATGATCTAGTAGTAAGCTATCTCTATGATGTTTTATTATTATTAGCATTTCTTCAATTTAAGTAACTTATCATTTAATATAGAAGGTGTTTTTCACATCTCTCTTCCTAATGTATTGACTAATGTTTCAAGATTTGGAACAACTGTGGGAGTACAACGAGAAGACACATTTATAATTTAAATGTCATTTTTCACACAATGTGTTTTTATAAATTAACACCTATATATTAAAAGCATTGTACTCGCAAATATACAAGTATTCTTCTTTTTCTTTATTAAATTTAGATAAATACAAACATATATTATGGTCGCTTGAAGTATATTACTTTTTATATAATATTTTTCTGTCTTATCAATTATGTGTACTAGCAAAAAATATGTCCGTTATAAAAATTTTATTTCGAGTGCTCCTTGAATTATCTGATCTTGATTCTTTATTATCTATCTTGTATTTATATATACACAATCTCTCATCTTGCAGTAAGCTGATTTTATTATAAATTAACATAATTTTTGATGTGGATATCTTTGTATTATTGTGTTCATATACATATACTTTGAAATTATTGTGTTAATATACATATACTTTGTTAATATGAGAATACATTTATATTAATTTTGGATTAATGTACATTAAGATTGTACTTTGCAAATCTCTTTTCTTCTTGTAGAAAATTTCTAATGTGTGATATATTTTTACAAATTTTGTCACTTGTGTGACACTATGTATCTTTACTAAATGATGAATAATCTTTCTTGCTAGGTTAAAATAAAAAACACAGGCCCCCTGATTTTGAATGGACGTGCTGCATTGGCAGCAGGAAAGGATGACTATACATCGGATGAAGAGGAAGATGAGTCTTGCAGTCACAAATTTCGGAAAAATACAGATAAAGCTGAAACTGTTAAGATACTACTTGAAAGTATGTAATTTTTTTTATTATTCATATAAGTTACAATACAATATAAATATTTTGACATGTATTTCTAGCATCTAGATTAAATGAAATTTAATTGTTATGTGTATATTTAATCCATTTTTTAGATGAAGCTGAAATAGAAAGAAAAGCATTTGCTTTGCCTTTTTTTCAGATATTAAAATTAAGTGGTATTATAAATCATGCATATGTTATAAAATTATTGGCATATTATTTTGATTTAATTGTAAAATATTTTTATATTCCTAAAAATGTGATAACATTATAACTATTAATATCATTTAGGTGGATGTATACCTGATGCAGCTATGATCCATGCAGCAAGAAAGCGTAGACAGAAAGCAAGAGAATTGGGAACTGATTACATTCCTATTGAAGAGCAAAAGTACATTTCTTTATTAAAATTATTAAAAATTCAGTAAATAGAAAATTTATATATACATCTTACATTATATTAGTCATATACTTATTAATAATACACTTGTAATAAATTTATATTTATAGCGATGACAAAGGCAAATCTAGACTAGTACGAGAAGAAGATCACGATCGAAGTGATGATGATGATTCTCAAGATCGACTTGATATGACTATCAACACAGAAGCACGTGATAAGGAAAAAAGGAGAGAAGCATTTCTTGCTTCTCAAGTTCCAATGAAATGTAAATCTTTAGTTATATTTATTTATCAATTAACTTCCAGGATATAATAGTTAAATAATAGAATTTAGCACGTATTTTAATTTAGTTTCAGATAATGAAAGTGAACACGAAAATGAAGAAGAAGAATGGGAAGCTCAACAAATACGAAAGGGTGTAACCGGCGCTCAGGTAAAAGCACAATTCAATATAAAATAAGATTTTTTCAAGTTAAAATACGTAAAAAAAATTTTTATACAAAATAATCTTTTATGATATAGATTGCAGCAGCACAGCAGGATTCTATGTTGCAACAACAATATACAATGGGTATGAATGTTAATCAAATGATAGGATCTGGTGTATCGTTAGAAATGGTATTAATGCCTGCACCGCCGCCACCTCCGTCCATTCAACCACCAGATCCAACTAAGATCGTACCCCTTACACCACAAGAAGTTGTGAATAGGATGCGCGCCAGGTATGCTTTATATAAAATTAGCATTTAAGATTATTAATATATATTTTAGACTTTAAACTAAAATTAAAAAAATAAAATTTATATAATCAGAGTTTATATTTAGAGAGTACATTATTGTTGGTTAAAGGTTGGACAGTTTGAAAGAGGTACATAGACGACATCAGCAAGATCAGGAACGTTTAGAACAAGAATTACAGCAAACCATGAAAGAATTGGACGAAGGCGAAGTCCGTACACCGCATTACGCACAACGCTTCAGATATTACCAAGAGTTGCGTGGGTATGTCACTGACTTGGTAGAGTGTCTTGATGAGAAGGTGGGTTGATACGCTGTCACGTTTGATTTATGTGCACTGGGGTTTATCGTACAATAGGTCCAGCTGGCAGAGATTCCCCAGCTCCAGTAAAGTACCAGCAATTTTATAATTAATTATTTAAAATTGCACTGTCTGAGTGTGTTATGTAAAATCTCACTATATAAAACTACCATACATTTATAAAAGCATTGACTAAGTCAGATTTAATTAGGGAAATTATCACATACTTTCGGTTATTGTAACTATATTTCACATAAAACATAAAATATGTAAAGTGTAGGAAAAATTTGTGATCTTTTACTTTTTTGATATAAATTGCGACTCAATTTAGCAACAATCCAAAATATTTATATATATATAAATTATTGAAAAAAACAAATACTTATTTAGTTGTTTTTTTAGATTTGCTTAGATCAATTCTTCGAAACATATTACACAAATATTATTGAGTGTATTATCTAAATTAATCTAAATTAAAATTTAGTTAGAAGCCAAATATTCTATAAAATATACTTCGTTGGCATAATTTTTCATAATTTATTTTTATAAGCATCTTTATAAATAAAGCAGAGTAATTAAATCTTTTGAAATAATTTTTTGGCACTTGAAGCACTAAATTAAAGAAAATGTGTAATACATGTTTCTATTGCCGGGGGTCATTATCTTCTCTGTATTACATTTACTTTTATACATATATCTCATAAAAAGATGAAATTTATACATATAAGAGCAATTAATAAAAATTAACTTGATCGTGGAGTAAATAAATATCTATTTTGGTAAGTAAATAAGTTTATCATTGTAATAAACAAAGTAAACAACACATTTTTTAAATAATTTATAAAATTGCCGATCAAGACAAAAAGAAGTTAATATTTTCCAAATTCATTATCTATCATCATATTTATGAAATCATTAAATTAGATATAATCAATTTTGTATAATAGAATATATTCACATCATGAATTTACTTAAATATATAATTCTTTTGTTAGCTTCCTCTGATTATCGAGTTGGAACGGCGCTGGTTAGATTTGTATGGCGAACGTTCGATCGAATTGATGGAACGGAGACGACAGGATACGAGAGATCAGGCAGAAGAAATAACGGCAGCAAGTCAGTAATATGTTTTTATACTGTTCTATATATATGTATATACATATGTATAGATAATTGATAGAACTTGATATAATTGATTGTCAATTATGTTTATAAAAATTAAATCAAAATTGACATAAGAGCCATAGCGCGGTAGTTGGGGCACAGGGGAAGAAACAACACTTCTTTCTTTTTGATTGTTCTTTATTTCAAATATTTAATTGAAATCTTGAAATTTTAATTTTATTTGAAATAAACAACAATCAATAAAAAGGAAGCGTTGTTTTTTTCCCCTGCGCCGCGCTGTGGCTCTTGTGCCAATTTTGATTTAATTTTTATTTATTTGAGCCTAATTATTAATTTTAATTATTTTCATCTTTGAATTGTTTAATTTTTATGTTCGATTTGTTTAAACCATTCTAATCAAAAAATTTCACACAGATTTTTTAACGGAAAAATTCTACAATTCTTTTTGTTTTCTAGGAGGGCAAGCCATGAGAAGAGGACCGGAAGTAGAGGCTCATGTACGACGAGCTACAGAAAGGGAAGGTAGAAGAGCTCGTCGCAGGAGAATGAGAGAATTAGCTTTAAATATGCCAAAACACATTGATGGTATGTCCAGTGATGATGAAGTTACTGAACAACAAAATCTCGCATTTAAACAAGCAAAAGGTAATAGATTTTACAAAATTTTGGAATTCTTAAAGTTTTTATTTATGTGTTTTTGTATCAGTATTATACACATTTTATACACATTTTATCACATTTTATCACTTATATATTTTTTCACTTTATTTCAGATGAAATTGATAATGATTGTAAAAACATATTTTCTGATGTTATGGAAGAATATTGTACAATACGTGGTATACTTTCAAAGTTCGAATCGTGGAGAGAGACGGACATAGACGCTTATACAGAAGCTTATGTGTCGTTGTGTTTACCCAAAATTATTTCGCCAATTATCAGATTACAATTAGTTACTTGGAATCCAATTATGGTAATTTATTTATTCTTCTCGAAGAAATAGCATTATCAATATTTATAATTAATTTTTCGAATTATTCTTGTAGGAAAGCGCTGATGTAGAAAGGACAAAATGGTACAATGCGTTGCTTTTATACGCTTTAGATAGTAAGGAAACAGAGGAATCGTTAAAACGAGATCCAGATGTTAGGTTAATACCATCCACAATTGAAAAGATCGTAATACCAAAATTAAAATGTAAGGATTACTTTTTTTATATTACTATTTATTATTTACTTTAGTTACTATTTATGAAACTGCTAAGAAATAAAATAATTCTATTTATAATGTACTTAATATTTTAATTTATATTTGATATATATTCTTCATGCATATATACTTTATGTTTCAGCTATTATTGAAAAAATATGGGATCCAATGTCGACATCTCAAACGTTACGACTTGTAGGGGCTATAAATCGTTTTGTCAAGGAATATCCAAATTTAAATGACACGAGCAAACAATTGGAAATTTTATTTAATACTATTTTAGATAAAATTAAAGCTGCTGTTGAGAATGATGTTTTCATACCTATTTTTCCAAAACAGTCAGTATATTCTATACGTATAAATATATATAAAATTAAATTATTGTTAATATTTTTCATCATTACATCTTTTCATTAATTTTGACATAAATTATCATTCTAGAGTTTTGGATACAAAACATCAATTTTTTCAAAGACAATTTGCAATGGCCGTCAAATTGTTGCGCAATTTACTAAGTTGGCAGGGCCTTCTTGGAGATATGCAGTTAAAAAATTTGGCATTAGGATCACTTTTGAATCGTTATCTTCTCGCTGGATTACGAGTTTCTTGTCCAACTGATGCTTTATTTAAAGCAAATATGGTAATTATTTATATATAGTAATATATTTATATATTTATATATGTATGTTTATAAAATATATTTCATATATATATATATATATATATATATATATATATATATATATATAATAAAATCTCGAATTATTATCATATTGAAAGACAATTAATGAGAAAATATTTATCAATGAATATTAGATCATGAGTACACTACCAAGAGCATGGCTACAAGGGGAAACTATAGAACACTTGAGAATGTTTGCTGCTCTCATTCAACAGCTCAGCGAACAATTAGATCAAGCAAATCCTGCACATAAGTAAGTATTTATTAATATTTTTCTGCGATTGATGACGCATTTTTTCGTGTTGTGAATCGCCTAGAATATATATGAACGCGTCTAAAGCAAGATTCGCATGTTGCAGTGAAGCCTGGGAATACGCCAAATCCATCTTGAAAATAATCAAGCCATTATAATACGTTAATTACATTATATAATGTTTTATCGTCGATAATATTTTATCAAATTTCTTGCTTTAGACCACACTACTATGCTTGTTAATAGTTTTATACATATAATACAGCAAGATCTTGTACATGATATATTGAAGTAAATTTTCGAATGTATAGTATACGAAAAGATACAATTTTGTATAGTAATAAACTAAAATGAGAGATAACTTAAGACATGATATATTTCCCGGATATAATTGTATATAAGAGATAAGTGAAAAATAAATTTGTAAATAATATATTTAAGCGTTCAAGCCCTGATTTTAAGAAATTATCGTATTTTTATCATAATTAGAAAAACTAAAAGAATTGTGAGTATTTGCTTATATTAATATAAAAATAACACAAATTTATATTTACATACATGTGTGTATGCACATATACATATTCTATAACAAAACTAATTAAAACGTGTATTATCATAAAGTTTATTATGAAGCAAATATTTTAATTTCGAAAAAAATATAATATAAATTATTATTAGTCAAATTCATAGTATATGTGCATATAAAGATGATCATTTGAATTAATAGATTGAACGCATTCTTTCACTTGATTATTTTTTCTAGGCATAAAAAAATGCAGATAAATTTTTTACCAATAATAATAAAATAACTATTGAAAAATGAAATAAAGAGAAAAGAAATTATTAAATATATATTGTCCTATTCTTTTTCAGAAAAATTTCTCCCCATATATTTTTGATATTTTTTTAACTCTTCAATTGTTTAAATTAATTATATAAACTTTATATAAATTATAAGTTACTAATCTTTACGTAATTCATAAATATAGAACTGATTTATTATTTTAATCTATAAAAAAATACATTTAAATTAAGATACAGATATACTTTATATGCTATTTGTGTTATGAAAGAAAAAGAAAGAAAAAGAACCAGCGATATGTAATATTCATGCCACACATACACATATGATTGAAGATAATATGCTGAGAGTGTAATTTATTTTATATACATACGAATAACTATATGTGTATTCGTAGGTCAATGATAAGAATTGGTAAGGGTCATTCCTTGACTTGTATGAACTCAGTTTACTTTTGAACTACGATCAACTACATCATGCAACTTATGGGTATACGTTTATATTATTTTTTATATTTTAAAGCATTTTTTTAAAACAAAAAAATGATCGAAATTTATATTATTGCAAGCGCGCGCGAGATATATTTATAATAATATATTATATTAATGTAGAAAAATAGTCTATGCATTATTTTCCATATTGCGAGTTAATTTTTATGGCAACGTACGTTCGACGTCGGAGAATAGAAAATGATAATTTTTGTATTTAATATATCTGCAAGAGAGAGATTTAATATATCTGTAATTTAATATATCTGCAAGAGGGAAGACGTGAAAAAGAAAGTCTTATTTTACAGATCCTAATCATATATCCAGACTAGGGCAAGGAATAAGAAGAACGTTCTTCATATTTTTACTTTTAAGTAATGAAAATGCCGCACAAAATTTATTTAGATCTGGGAAGGAATATATTTATTCTTATAACGCTACGTCGAGTACTGGTGTATTAGTACCTTCCAACGCAGCTTCCTCGTGGAACCTCAATGGCAAGCTTGTGATTCAAGCGGAAGATGATTATGTCACAGTACAGGTAAAAAAAAGTAAAATTAAAAAAAAATAATAAACATTTGAATTTTTTATAGTCTCTTGTATTTTTTCAGTTATAAAAACTATATATATATATATATATATATATATATATATATATATATATATATAGTTTTTATAGTGGAAAAAATACAAGAGAATATAAAAAATTCAAATGTTATAATAAATAAAATAATTTATAAATTATAAAATAAATTATAAAATAATTTATAAATATATAAATACATACATACATATATACATATATATATATATATATATATATATATATATATAATTATTTTATAAATTATTTTTTAAATTATTTTATCACATTTGTGTAAGTTGATATAATATATCTCGAATGTTTGTTTCTTTTTCTATTAGCTCCAATCGTTGAAAACAAATATGTGGAATGGCAATGTAAAGGAACCGAGCGAAAATATTGATATTTACGATAATACTGTGGATCTTTTAAGACCTTTCCGAATGTCGTATAACAAAGGACTCATCGAGAACTTTAGCATCGAAACGGAAGCGATATGGGCGACGAATATAAAACGTAGTATAGCTGGAATTTTACAATTGGATCTTTCTAATTTGGAGAAGGAAGTCGCATTTCATTCTAGCGAGGTAAGGATCATTTATATAAACATGCACACGATGTACATTGTGTAATGAATTATTTTATATACATACTCATAAGAGTATAATATTATGATATATGCGTTCAACAAAATTATAATTTACAGATAAACCATTATGGAAAATGTAATATAGATTATGTTGTAAGCTTGGAGTGGAATAATCAGCGTTTAGTAAGAAAGTCAATAGATCCTCGGATATGTATTGGGCATCCGTATCGTAATTGGTCTAATGTTCCTAAAATACAATGCACCAATGAGGATCAAGTACGTTATTGTGTTAAGATATATTTATTTTTATTATTTATCTATTTGATTATAGAATTAAATTATATTGTGTAATATATGTTATATGATATTTTCTGACACTAAAACTTTTAGGATCCTGTACTGAAAAATAGCGAAAGAGTGTATAAATTAAAAACCGATGGACACATTCACGATATTCTTTCCGTCAACACATCCGGGAGTATCTACGTGCAACCCTTTCAAAGTATGGGCGAGGCGCATTATCATATTGTACAGTATGTTTCACAAATTTTCTAAATATATACATACTTGTGTTGTTGAATATTTATTGCAAATACAAATCTTTATATCAGATAAATATTTGAATTAATATTTTTTTTATCGCAGAAATAAATTATTATAATTATTGCTTCTCGATAATGTCAATGAAATAACATTGTTTTATTTTATACAGACAAGCTATCGAATTATCTTCAGTGAAAGATATAACGAATAAGATAGTTACAAATAATTTACGAACTACTATTCTTCAACATGAGTTACCTGAAGCGGATTTAACACAGGGCAGAGATACTCCGGACAAAAGTTTTATCTTTAAATCTGTAAATTTATACACATATATATTTGTTTAAATTTTATTTTTTTCGATTCTTAATAGTTATTACAGTGAAATCTTTAATTTTGTTACAGATAAGTCGATTATTGGACCGCTTGAGCCACAGGCTCGAAAACCCTGGTTTGGATACCGAGATTCATAATCTGCACAACACAACGATATCCGTGCTTCTCTATTATCTTGATATGTTAGATCGTGATGATCTAGGAAAAGCCTATAATCGCATCTCAGGAACTAGTTATAAAGAGGAAACGATACGGTACCTATATTGATTATTAATCATTTATTTTTGTTTTTATTTTTTCTCTCCCTCTCTTTCAACCTTCTCTTTCTCTTAATCTTTAATATAATTTTAATTCATCTTAATTCATTATATAAATTATATTATGCTTTATTGCAGGAATATGTTTCTCGAAGCATTGCCGCAAGTTGGGAGTAAAGAATCCGCTCATTTCATATTGAATCTTATTCAGAATAAGAAAGTATCCGATATATCCGCAATTCAACTTCTCATGCGGCTACCACTTCATTTAAGAAGGCCAGACGCTCAATTGCTAGTTAGTTTGCAACCGTTTCTTACACTACCGAACGAAATCTCCGCGGAAGTGCAAAATACTGCAATCCTCGCATATGGAACGCTGATATATAAAACCTGTTTGATGCATTGCCCGTATGAGATGTTGGATGATTACGTGCGTCTCTATCTCGACAAATTCACTGGTATATATAGGCTGTACTAAAACGACCGAATATTCTTTTGATAGCAGATTGTATAATGATTTATATGTCTTTCGTTTCTATTAACGTATTAAAGTTTCCATATTGCTCAGAATTTTACACTCAAGAATGTTACATTCAATCCGTGTTACAGAAAGTACTCTATATGAACAAAAGATGGTCTGGCTGGAAGGCTTGGCGAATATACAGCTTGGTAGAGTCGTTGAATTTCTAGAGCCAATAGCTAGCGACAATAATATCGAATCCCGACATTTTCGGGCACTCGCAGCTTGGGCCTCTATTCCTACAGCACCGTTGAGACCCGACGTGGTGAGCAATTTTTAATTAAGTAATCAATCTCTATTGCAATTTTTAATTAAATAATCAATCTCTATCTCTATTTAATGAAGTATCCATCTGTATATGAATCTTATCTATATTGGAATTGAATATATATTATATTCATTATCATGATATAATATTTAATTATATATAATAATATATATTATTCTATGCAGATTTATCGTGTGTATTGGCCGATTGTAGTCAACAGAACCGAACATTTAGAAATGAGAATTGCTGCATTAACTTTGCTCATTGTGTCCAGTCCTACATCTAATAGATTAATATCCCTGTATTGGTACATGCAAAGCGAGCCCAATCAACACTTGTACAATTACTTTTACACAATGTTAAAATCTATGGAACGTACCACTTATCCTTGTTATAAAAGCATGTAAATATGCACAAACTTATCAATCATAAGAAGCAGCAATGTTATTTGAAAAAAATATTAATTTCTACATCAATTTGCAATTTTATATTATATATTATAAAACATAAATCAATTGTATCATGATTTGATTAATATTATATTATATTATATGTATATAATTTAAAGACTATAATTTCTATTATTAAAGTATGTGACATTGCTGCTATTTTTAATCTATCTAACATATTATGCATTTATTTAGATATTTTTACATCTAGTCTTAAATGTTAATTGTCTATTGAACATTTACAGAGGCAGAATCGCGGCGCAATTTAGCCGCGTTCTTCGGAAACCGTCAAATAACGAATATCTTATTACCGGTAACTATCTGGTTGATTATCAAGACTCATCAAGGAGATTTGGCACCATGTTGCATGGTGCTATCATAGCTAATCCTTTTACGAATATTCCTGAAGTAATTTATATAACTCTAAATAATTATGGCAGTGGAACACATATTAACCATCTATCTGTAAGTACACTTTTCAAAGCCAAGACATCTATCTAATTTATTTCATCTTTTACGAATACCGATGAATTTAATTACCATTTTTTGATACATTAAGTTATACATCAAAGCAGAGGGTGTTTTTCACTCATTAGCGACTTCTTTCGGCAATCCGACAAACATAAAAGATATTCTTAAAGAATTCAAATTAGATGAACGAAAAAGAGATCCTGTGCATTTAGAAGTAATTGCGCGAATTCAAGAAAAAACAGTGTTGTGCATTCACTGGAATGAGACAAAGATAGTTGAGGGGTTGAAGTGTAAGAGAATGAAAATTTATAATAAAATGTATAGTTATAATGTAATGTTACCATCTCATCATTAGTGTATCTATAATTTTCTAGATTTGTCTTCTTTATGGAATGATCTATATTATTTGTATTATAACATGGAATTCCATATTAATCAACAACGTATAAATGTACCATTGACAATAGAATCAATCCAAGCAACCGATCTCGGTACTAACGTTAGACTCGCGATGATGGCAACATCTTTGTTTTCAATGAGAGGAAATTTTACACGCGATTTTCCTACACGAAATAATCACGTCATTTTACGGTATACAAAGACATATGTTTTATATGTTATTACAAAATTTTGTTTTATATAATTAATTGTTAATTTTAAAATTGATTTATATATTTAATTGTGTCTTTGGCTTATAAAATATTCTTATAAGTTTATATTTATTTATTATTTTTTAGCTCGTCTATTTATGGCATTGAAACGATAGAGAATTATAATCCGTTGGTCGATTTATGGCATAGTGCTGAAAGAGTCCAGTCGCTACATGGATATCTTCCCATTAATATTACAATGGGATTAGAAGAACGGCCATTTATTTCATATAATAATCTAGGAGGTATAAATTTTATTATTAATTTTTAATTTATTTATTAAATTAAAGATTAAAGTTATTATAATATAGATAAAGTTATTATTTTATTAATTTATTAAAGATTTACATAATTTTCATTACGCTTATTAATTTGTATTATTTAACAATATTGATAAAAAAAATTAGTCTGCATAAATCTTAATTCTTTTTTTCTTAAACATTAAAATTTCATATAGTTTTAAAAATATTTAAGATTTTACAAATATCTTTTGATTTTTATTCTTCATCTTTATGTTCTACTACATATAAAATTAATGTATTACAGAACATCTTAAAACAGGAATTACAGCACATGTTAAAACATTTACAAGTATTAAAGGTGCAAATGTTAAATCGAAATTGGAGCGAGCTTGTCACTCATGTCCTATATCGTATACAGTAAAATCGCCTAGTTCTAATCTACAGGTAAATATTAATTTAAATGTATTATATTTCTTTTGCTATTTAAATATACAATTTCTCTTGCTATTTAAATCTACAAATGTATAAATTATTTTATATTAACATTAATGAATATAATCCTTTTATATTCCTTTTTTCTATAGACAGTAGATATTCTCAACATTGAACTTCCTGAATTAGGTGGTCGGCTAAAAACAAAAGTATTTGATTGCGATACTACGATGCTATACGAGACATTGATTAACGACATTTGGTCCTCTCATCAAAGTAATTATCAGTAAGTAATAGATCATTTATATGTATTTTTATTTATATTTATTACATTAATATACAGTATACAGTATAATAATGTAATTTATATCATTCAATTACAATTACGTCTATTACAATAATAAAAAAATGTTATAATTTATTGTGAAATATATCTTAAATGAATTGCATTAATTTTCATAATATAGATCCTGGCCAAATATGAAATTTATTTTAATCGGATTACATTTCTTGGATTACCTCACTTACATGCCACCAAGAGGTAGTTGTGGATTAGCTGCTTATATTGAAGCAGCTAAATCGACACCAACGCAGGTTATTTATATTATATAATATTATATATCTATACAGGATGTCTGGAAAATCGCCCGCAATACTTCGGGAAGTGATTCGGGACTCAAAAAGAAGGAAAAAAAGCTATGTAAACATAAGTCCGAAAAGAAGTCGTTTCCGAGTTATAGTCATTTTTATGTTAAAAGAATCATAATTTATAGTCTGCTTGGTATCCCTTTTTAAAATTTTTTTTCTTCTTTTTGGATTCCGAATCACTTCCCAAAATACTACTGATTTTCCGGACACCTGTATATCATATTGTGTGAATTATATATTTATTATATACTTATATATATTTTTTTATTAGACAAAATTGGAATATATGCAAAGTGAAAATCGTCATATTTTATCTTTGACACATCACGACTTACAATCTTCCCAGATTGTTCATCAATGGTTTTTGGCTGCATTACACGAAAGCACTAGCTGGGTATCAAATGTGATTAAAATCAAAGCGTCCAAAGTCGTGCCTGGTGCACGCATATTGAAGGTAGATTTAAAGATTTTACATCTCACATAATAAAGTTGAGAATATACATAAGGGAGAAATTAAAATTTATTGATTTAGTTTTGTGCAGAAATTGAAAATCACATACCATGGCAATGGGAATTCTTAAGCGATAAACCGAGCGACTTGTATCGCATTAAATTAAATCTTATTTGGGGATTGTCTGATTCTATGAAAGGAAAATGTAACGGATCTTCTATATCAATAAACTTAATTGGCGAAATTAGTGACAAGCAACTTGAAAAGAGCAAAGAAGCAAACTGGCCTTATGGCGAATGTAAAAAGGAATCTATTGGAAAAAAGTTTATTCCTTATACAAATTCGTGTTATGAAGCGTCAAGAGAATTGTCAACCTTACGGAAATATACGATCTCGGCGCATTATGAAAACGTAAATAAAAAAAAACTAAATGTATAAGTAAAAAGTCGGCAAATTTTTACGCGCAAGTTATAATAATGTAAATATTATACTTATCATATTATATTTTTATAATGTGAAAACAGTTGCCGGAGAGTTTGTCCAAATTAGTTTGGAAAATGTACGCCTTCCATGATTTGATCGGCGGAAATAGCAGTAATGCGAGGAAGTCCAATGAAGTCGTGATAATCGCGACATTTCCCAAAGAATCGAATGTTGGTGAATTGGAACTCAACGGAGATAAAGTTGCTATCGAATATAATTCACGCTACATTGATCCTTTTCTAATACGAACAAGAATTCACAAATATATGGAAATGCCTTTATTCAGAATGTTTTCCAGTAAGTAATTATATTAATCATGTAATAATCATCAATATATTTCACTGATTATTCTAGTTTTAAAATAATTTGTTCAGTTCTAATGCATATAATGATGTATATTTTATGATTTAAGTGTCAGAAATTGTTTAAATTCATGTTTTATATCTTATAGGTACATGCATCGTAACGTCAGATTCCATAAAATCTGCATACAATACGGTTTATACCTTTGCTGAAAATAGCGAAGTGATATTACTCGGACAATGTTACGACGACAATCCCAGAGTTGCGTTAACTGCAACCAATAGTATGTATGGAATCAACATAAATTTAACCGACGAATCTGGAATTATACGGATTGTAGCCGACATGAATAAAGGAACTCTATATAATGCTACATCATCAATAAAATTGGAATCTGATTATGTATTTCATTCACTAGGAACTAAAATGTAAGTAAAAGCAAATAATTTCTAATAATGTGAAGAATTTAAACATAAATTCATAATCTGTAAGGTTTATTTTAAATATATACATACTCTTTATATTTACAATGAACCTTACAAATTATAAAATTGAATTATCCTTTAAACATAGTATATATAAAACATAATTTATTATCATGTATAGGATCAAAACAGGTGGCGATGCAATTGATATTCTGCTACCTAATATTATTCTATATATACATTGGACGCAAGAGCAAATTTTACTTTCTTTCCCCAATCATGTGCTAGATTTTAGTTGTGGAATATGCACGCTCGACCATTCCAATGTGGATAGATTATATGAGAAATTAATTTAATCTACAAAATATATATATATATATATATATATATATATATATATATATATGATATGTGTATGAGTGTGAGTATACATATAATGAGACACGGAATGACAATTTTTATTGACATTTGATATGCGAAGAAAATCATGTTAAAATATCGCATAATAAAATACAACAGTTTTTTATTTATTATTTAATATATATCTGAGATAAATGGTACAGTATACAAGAAAAGGATATCTATATAATTGTTATTATGGCTAGGATTTTCGGCCGACAAAATCGATTGATTGATCAGTGTTTGAAATTTCTATGTATTATTATCAATAAACTGATTATTAACCACCTGATATAAAGCTGAAAATCAAAGCCGCACACAATTATATGCTATTACAATATTTCTCTTTTTTTTTTCTATCGTAAAATACAAATTTTAGTAAATAATGAGCATAGATCTAATACATAAAATTATGACTAATTATTTAAAGCTTTAAATTTTAATTGATTTTACTAGCCTTAGAGAGTCATTTATTATTTATTAAAAAGTCTAAGAATTCTAAGGTAACAGAATAGTTCTACACAAAAAGAATATAATAATTTATTTATTAAGTCTTAACCATTAAAAATTATGTTAAATTATATATATATATATATATAATATATATATATATATATATATATATATGTATATTATAAATATATATATATATATATATATATATATTTATATATATGTATACATTTTACATAAGTGAAGTTGATAAATATATCTGGCACAGATTTTGCTTTAACTCGTTTTTTTAATCATAATGTCATATAATTTCAGACTTTTGTTTTATCCAATATATTATTTATTTAATAATTATTTAATAATTTTTAATAAGTATATAAATTAAAATATGTGAAAATTTTTTTAAATTATATATATATATATATATATATATATATATATGAATAAGAATGAAAAAATGTTTTCTCTCTCTTAGTCCCAAAATAGCACATTATTTTTTTTTGTAAGATTACTTATTCATATATATTTAAATTGTATATTTAATTTTTCAATATTCTTTCACACAATTTATCTATAGCTTTTATTATATTCTTTTTTATATAAAAAATTGCGATATGTGTAAAAAATGAAAAAAAGATATTTATTAAGATAGTTTATTTAGCTACATATCAAGATGAAAAAAATGTGTTATTAGCTCCAAAAAAATAGTTCTTTTTGTTGATAAGATCACTTATTCATTTTTAAGGCACATATCTAGATGCTGGTTCATAAGATTTTCTGGTATTATCTGCATGCATACTGGACAAGGATATCTACTCTCCACAGAATTATTTTCTACAAGCATATCATCATCATTCTGATCATTATCATCATCTATTATCATTGTGTCGTCATTAAAAAGACTTCCAATACATTCTTCAAGATGTTCATTTAATGATATCTCAGGTAGAAGCTGTATATTGCAAACCAAACATTTGTGTTCGGAATCTGTTGCATCGCTCTTAATAGTACTAGTACTAGCGTAAGATTGTGCTTTTGGAATTTCGTTAACTATAGAATGATTTTCGATGATTACAGAATCATCTAGATCAGAACTAGAAAAACTATTTATACTGATTATACTATCATCATATGATGCACGAGAAGTAGAGGGAATGGCAGCTTTACGAACTGTATCTGCTTCCAACAAGCATTCATCAAGATGTTGGTTAATATCTGTAGATGGCAGTCTTTTGTTACAAACAGGACAGTTGACATATTCAGCTATCTCGTCTGGATTATTTAATCTTAAACGCTTATTAGAAATGGTATTTGTATCGATACTTTGTTCTACTGTTGATGTAGAAAACGTTCGAATAGGCAACATTAATTCTTCGTTATTATTGTTGTTATTGATATTGTTATTAATTTCATCAATCAATGTATTATCATTTATTAGGCATGTATCTACGTGTCTATATATGTTTTCTAAAGTCATAGGTACATTACACGTGGGACAAGGTACAGAATTATTTCTTGGTTGACTTAGATTTAAGACTGAATTATTAACAGATCTCTCTTGTCTCGCGATCGATTCTGATAATGAATTTCTTCTAGTTGATTCACGTCGGTGATTTTCATCATCATTTGCATGCATAAATTTAGTCAACAGATTACTTTGACCACTGTTACTACCTCCTAAAACACCGGAACATGAAAATGTGGGGTTCTTAAAAACGCTCTTTGTATTATCCTTTTCTACTGTTCCACTTGGGCCGCTGGTACCCCAGCCATGTACATTATTACTAGAGCCACCCAATTTTTTCATTCCTAATGACAAATCTTGGGTATTTTTCTCATTCATAGCACGAAACGAATTTGTACCATTATTATCTTTACTAGTACTAGGCTTATCATTATTTCTTTGAGTGAGTATTTTAGAGTCATTATTAGTAAGAGAGACCTTTGAAGATGTAGCTGTTGCATCTATTGCTGGAGTATTCTTTGTGAACCAATCAGTGATACTTTTACTTGGTTTCTGATCTTTCGATTTTGATTTATCACTCTGCTTTGAATGGGATTTATAGTTTTTCGGCTCTTTTATCTTTATAAACTCGCCATTGCAATTCCGTTGATGTTCACCCCACCAGAAATCTGATGGGCCAGGTGCACGATTCATACTGCGTCGAACTGTACCAAAAAAAGGTGGCCTATGTTGGCAAGGTCCATTACACTTCCACCAATGTTGTTTGTACAATCTTACTTCATCATGAAAATTGTGGTAAATCTACAATTCGATATAAAAGCACTATTATATTAATATATAAAAAAATTTAGAATCTAACAAATATTATTTAGAAAATTTATAGTAGGATCTTACAAATATTAATTATTATTATGATGAATATGCAAATTTTATTATTTCTAAAAATGCAACATTTCTAAATATTTGCTTTTTAGAATTTTTTCAAATTGAATCCAATTTATTCACATTTTAATAATTTATTTAGATATGATCTACTCAAAATTTTTGTAAATAATATTAAATTGTTATATTAATATTAATATTAATATTATGAACATATTTATATAAAAACTTTACATTGGAAGATAATTTTATTTTTCTTATTAAATTTACAAAATTATTGATGTATTTGGTCAGCTTATTTTATTGAAAGTTAAAATAATTTTAATTATAATGCAGATAGTTTTGACAATTATTTGTATTTAATGTATGTTTTGTAATAATAATCACATGTTTTTTAATAACATTTAATATCATAAATATTAAAATGACCAAATTATTAACTTACTGTTATATTGGTTCCTGCTTCTTTATTTATCCTATACATATGTTTGCAGAAATTTGGTCCATGACCATCTCTGTCACGATCATTATTTGTTAAGAATAAGTATGCATGAATCATCTCGTGCTGCAATTTAATACAATAAAATACCATTAATATATAAAGTTACTAAATTGTTTTTATAATTGTACATGTTAATATGTGTATATATTAAAAAATTTACCAATAAAGTTTCAACAAGATCTTTCCTTGGTCTAAGTTTAAGTAAAGGTGCACTGAGGGATATGATACATTCTTTATTACGCGAGTGAAAAGTGCAAACTCCAGCACAACTATAAATACATATATATATTTCTATATATAATTATAGATATTTTGCATATAAATAACATAATAACATTTATATATAAATATATTGATACAAACTATATTATTTTATATTTAAAAAGAAATATTTACCTTGTCATTCTATTACTCCATTTAACCTGAACAGGAGACAAAACACTCCAAAAGAAACGTGTATTGAATTGTACAAATAATGTATGAATATTAGGAGTAGGATCGATAAATTCTAGTGCCTTGTCCACCAATGTTTGTATATAAATGGTATTCTCCTAAAAACAAGTATCTTTTTCAATACACAATGTATACAAAAAATATTAGTTCTAGAACATGTGTGTGTTTACTTTCATACATTATATTAATTATATATTCTTGACCTTAATAGGTTTTAGGGTAAATGTATACAGTAGCACTTTTTCACAATATTTGTTATATTTTTGTTATATTATTTATAATTTTTTATATTTATATTTTGTATAAATTATGTACATCTATTTGCCTACATGCTATTTGCTTATATCATTGTACTTTGACAGTAAAGATTTTATAATTTAAGAAAAAATTCCTTTTAATGGTAAAGTAATGATTTGTTATCATTATCTTATTTAGAATGTTATAAAAGATATATAGATATATAAAAATCTTATTGAAACTGGATGAGAAAGGATATCAGTGCGAAAATAGTCCTTATACTTAGCAATAACTTTCTTTTCCAGTTTCTTCAATTTATTTAAAGGAATATCGATTTAAGAACAAATTTATAAGTCTTGATACATTTATACAATACAACTACATGCACGATTAAAATTGCTCCATGGCAAATACCTTTTCTAGATTAATTGCATTTTCCGTTACGCCTAAACAATTGAGTTTTTCATGCATGTCATATGCCAAGTGGAGATCTTGCGATGCCATTATTTCTCTGACAGCCTTTGTTCACCTTATTTCACACAAGAAAAGATGAAATACTTTCTCTTTCTCTCCTTCTATTTCTCTCTCTCTCTCTCTCTTTCTTTCTTTGATGTGCTTTGCAACGTTTATTTATTGAAGTGTCTTATGTATCAGGTGAAAATAAATAGAGAAATATTGACTTTATTTTTACATATTTCACAAGACATTTCACACATTCGCACAATATGATTTATATCCATTTAAATCTAATGATAATTTTAGGAGTCTGAAAATGACACGAAACGACAACCGACGACAACACAATCACGACAATCGAGTGAACAAGTATAGAATAGCTTAGGACCGAGAGAAAAGGAATGTGGAAGAAAGTTAGATGGCGAAACTAGTGTTACGATTCTGGTATATAGTACTTCCGGGTCGGATTTTTCGCGCATGCGCTCCAGTCAAGTAACGTGATTAAAGAAAAGAGGTTATAATAACAGATGTTCCAATTTCTCTATTTTTATTCAATGTCTAAAATTTCTTTAATTTATCTTCAATAATCAACACATTTTATATTTATACTCTTCTGTATTTAAAAATATAAAATATGTGTTTGACATTTTAAGAAAAAGAGAGAAGGAATAGGTAAGTAAAATTAAAAAGTGGAAGAAGTGCTGCACTTTTTCTATAAACGCACATGGCTATCGAGCTGATGAGATTTGAATTCTGTTAAAAATCTTTAAATTTGTATATAGGAACAATGATTTACAATATTGATGAATATTGAAGCAATATCGCGCAATAAATTCTCAAAGGAAAATGTCTCTTAAGGAACAGAAATTCAAATCTACTTGACGTATCATTGCAAGGCAAGGTTGTGGACTTGTTGAATGATTGTTGCTAGAATTATAAGCTTTATTGTCATCGTAATTACTATACGATAAGACATTATTGCTCTCACTTTTGTAAAAAGGCAATTATGGTACGATACTTGCTTAAATTTTCGTACATTGGTACACAATACAGGTACAACATAAAGCACTCATATTTGATTTAATCTTATGCGACAAGCATAACGGGCGTTGCGTGAAATTTTTATATATTTGTAGCAGTTTTATCTTTTTTTTGATCGTGGAAATGTAACGTGATAATATTTTCGTAAAGAGGTTTGCAGAAACAAATTGGCAACGATTTTGTACGGGACACAGATTCTATTCAAGGTGCTTTGGAAACTGCGTTATTAACCATCTCGCCAAAGAGTCTAATCAGGCCGTTTATAATTCTTTCCAGCAGGTAATTTTATGTTACCTTTGCAATTTTTTATAATAGTCTCTGTAATTTGCAATATTCAATAATCACAATAATATAATTATTTGTTAATGATTTTTATATTGAAGATTATAAGTACATGCACAGTTTTATTGCGTATAAACTATTTTCCTAGAAGAAGTACTTTGTCTTTGACAAAGCTGAATATGACTAATTGACTTAATTATTATTATTATATTTCTATTATTATATTTTAGTATTTGTATTTATCCCTTATCAAACTCTAAAAATTTTTATAGAACAGATGCTGGAGTTCATGCTTTATGCAACACAGGGCATGTGGAACTTGAAAACAAATATGGTCAAATATATGATACATCAAGAATAAAACAATATGTTAATCGTTATTTTACCAAGTGTGGTCATAACATCAGGTATAACTAACAAATTTTAGAGATTCTTAAATTTCATTATATTCTATAATTTCATTATGTTTTAACATATTTATAAAAATTCTTTTTATAGATTGCTGGAGTGTATACCTATTACACAGGATTTTCACGCAAGATATTGTGTGAAATCTCGAACTTATATATATAGATTTATGATACCTAAAGTAGATGAGGAACATCGGATACCCCTTGTGGAAGGGATACATACTTTTCATTTGAGGTTTGTTAGATGAGGAAAAATAAATCTAAACACACTTTGTTATAATAACATATGTTTTTCAGAACATACAATTTTGATATAGATAGAACGAAACGTGGTACAAAATTGTTTATGGGAATAAAAGACTTTACTACATTTAGCGCGAAAGATGAAGGGAAGCGTAATATTCGATATGTACGTTCCTTACATTCTTTCACTTTGGAAGAGACACAGCCTTTAATGCCATTTGATCCACTGTCCAAACATTTTACATACTGGAATTTTATATGTAGTGCAAGATCTTTCTTATATAATCAAGTAATTTTATTTTAAATATATTTTACTTTAAAACACTATATATATATATATATATATATATATATATATATATATATAAAATTTATAATTTATAAATACATTTGCGAAAGGTTGTAAGAATTACTTTTTGCAGATCAGACGTATGGTTGGCGCTTTATTTGCATTAGGATTAGGAAAAATAACAGAGAAAGATATCATTGTAATGTTACAAGTTCCTTCTCATTATAACTGGAATCCTCATGCTACATGTGCACCACCACATGGCTTACATCTATTGAATGTAGAATATGATCCAGATCAATTAAGACATTGTACTATATTAAAAGAACAAAAAGAAAAACTGCAGTTGAAAGAATAAAAAAAAAATAATTGTTTCAGACACTATTAGAATACTGCAATAATTGAAAAATATTTTATTTGTGTATGGCGAACGATAGTAGGGAAACAAGAATTATCTTGAAATATATTATATTTAACATGATTTCTAATGCAAGTATATATGAAATGTAAATTATTGTTAAAAAATCTTTCAATGGATTTACAAGATCTTATTGCAAAAAAGAAATTATCATTAAAATCGTGTAAAACAGTGATAACAGATCCACTTGGTAACAAGTACGAGATTGAACATGGTCAAATTAAGGAATTGGAGAAAAGCTTACCGTTTGTAGTAGACGAAAGACCAGACTTGCATGTCGCCTATATAATACCAGGTTTATATCTTAGCTCTCAAGATCCAGCGGTTTGCAAAGATATATTAAAAAAATACGAAATACGACATATTTTAAGCATAGGCGTTAACATTTCCGAAAGATTCGACGATATTCAGTATCATACCTGTGACTTGTTAGACTTGCCAGAATCGAACATAATACCGTTGCTAAAAAGGTGCGTCGATATTATACACGCGACTCGTAAAGAAAATATCCTTGTGCATTGCAACGCTGGTGTCTCTCGCTCTCCTGCTATTGTTATCGCTTATTTGATGATTCATATAAAATTATCATATGATGAAGCTTACAACAAAGTAAAAGAAGCGAGAAGTTGCATTAGACCTAATGATGGATTTATAAAACAATTACGTAGTATGGAAAATAGAACTTTTGTTAATGAGTTGTCATAATGTTCTAATATATCTATATTAAAGACAACTTATACAAATATTTATATAACGTAGAATACATTACATACTATATTGTGTGAAATATATTGTGATGATAATATTAAATATTTATCAAATATTATCAAATATTTTTTTTAATGTTTACATTTATATAAACACTTTTTATATTATAATGTATTTCATACAATATGGTGTATAATATGTGTGTGTATGTATGCATATAAAACTGCAAATATATATATATATATATATATATATATATATATATATATATATATGCAATTTTAGATGTCATAAAGATCATAAAGAAACAGGAAAATATAGTAGATATAGATACATATAAGAAATGGATCAATGGATCAATGAATGTAGAATATATTGTTACAATAGAGAATTCATGTGTTATAACATTATTTACTTAAGTGTACAGAGAATATTGTTTCATATATATAATTACAATATTTTATCATAACTCATTAGAAAATTAGATTCATGCACAGCATCTATCAAATCTTAGCCAAAATTAAGTATATTAAAATTTTTACTAATTCTGGCTTCTTTTCTTATATTTACCATGCATTGGAGATGACACATAGGTCGCTGTACCAAGTAGATTTATAAAAATTACTGTAAATCTAAAAAATATAAGTGAATTTCTGTATACATGATAATCCTATTATTTCATTCATAATAGTAGTGTATCATTGTACCCGTGGTACCTATTACTTCTCTTTCTCTTCTATTACATATTATATAGAATAATTATTATCAGTATCCATATATATGTGTTTACATGTGATGTGTATATATACAGGCTGTCCCAGAATCACCGGATGATACTTTAGAGACAGATTAATCAATCTGGAATAATTTAATAAAAAATATCGAAGATTAAATTATTGTCGAGACAATAAAAATATCATCAATAGCTTCAAAACTGTAAACTATTGAAAATGAAAACATTTTACAAGTAAAATTTTAGAAATGTAAAATAACCTATGAAAAGATTTTAATTGATGTAACTTGATTATATGCAATATTAAAATTGCAAAAATTGTGATAAATAATATAAATATATTCTGAGATTTTTGCAAGGAAAGAATAAATTTCCTGAATATATATACACAATTCTGAGTATGTATCTATTTCGAGAGTATCTTCCAGTGATTTACAGATATCCCAGATAAATGCAATATATATATATATATATATATATATATATATATATATATATGTGTGTATATTGCATTTATATATTTATATGTATAATCTAATATTCACATTCCTCCAACAATTGAAATGAGCTGTCTTGAAGAAAATAGACAAGGCACTTGAACTGAATATCCTTTTCTTAGCTAGTTGGCCTCATAAATAGTAGAATGCAAAGGACTTGCACATCAAACGGTAGAATGTAGAACAAATAAATAAAGCCGGCTATCGAAAGGAATTCGTGTATCGTTCGCTATTCGTAACATTCAAAATTTGACCATTCTCTGCAACGGTGCCAATTTCGCTGTATAATGTGTCTCAATAAGTTTTGAGCGGCGCGCACGGGAGAGATCAAGGCCTTCTAAATACCGTGTTCCTTCAACATGTAACATTATGTGATTGCTTGTAAGGCAAAAAATAGCATAAGTTTTAGTTTGCATTGCGATGCTAAAGATACAAGAAAATGATCTCTCTACTTATACTGAGAAGTTGCAAAACGCATAACAAATGGCATAAAATACATTTCCCTGTCTCTATAGAGCATCAGAAAATTCACTCACAAAAATTACATCGGCGTTTTAATCCCCGATTGTATAAATCTATTATTTGGGCATTATCTATATCATTAATGAGAGAATGTACTCAATGCATCGACAAAGTTTTCGTTTATGTCACGTCCAAACTCTTAGAGATGTGAATAGAGTTTGTAGTAATATGATAAAAAATTGCGCGAGTTGCTATAAGGAATAAGTTTTTCCTTTGAAAGCCCCTAACACGTTTTTTCCCTTTTTGATTCACAAAGATTTTACGATATAAATTTTAACAATTGTGTGATGTAGTTTAGAAGCCACTTGATTCAAGTAGCACAGAATAACGAGAAAATGTGCGATATATATGTACAAAAAATATAAATAAATTAACAAATTATTATGCTAAGTCCAACGAAAAACGTATACGACTTTCTGCAGTCTACACGCAATACAAAGATTATGTATCTGTGAAAGTAATATAATATACACGAATATAAATTGGCTAAATTCTGCAGAAAGAGACTGGCGCATGCAAAAAATTTTTGTCCTTTATCATAGAATACAAACTATACACAGAGAGTTTACGGTCAATTTGTATTTTAAAATGAAGGACAGTGTTGCGGAACATAATTGGTTGTACTTTGCAATTTTTGCGGGCTTGGTCTCTTTTCTGTAGAATGCCGATCCGATCATTTCCCACGAAGCCACAGTCTTAAGTACAACATATCTGTATCTGGAAAGCATATCATTAGGAATACAAGCCAGATTAAATCATACACACAATGTGTGCTGTATCGTCCGATTGTAACGAGTGGTAAAATCAGGACAATATGCATTACAGTTACAGATATATAGAACATCGGTATTATGAATTGTAAATATAAACATCATCGTCGAACGCGTTGTGTAGTAAACCAGTGTCAGAGTCCAATAGAATGGCCAGGTCGTATGCAGCAACGTCAGTAATGGAACAGGGAACCACCCAACACAAGTGCACATATGCGTGTATGATGTGTGTCTGTGTTTGTGTATGTGTGTGTACATGCATATGATTAAATGTAATGTGTTTTATATATTGTTTGTCAGAGGAAAGTTACCTTACATCATTAACTTACACGTTCCATCCATTGTTTATCTTTTTTTTGTCTTTTTTGTTTGAATGAAAGGATTTTTTTAGATTCTATATGTTTTTTTAACGCTTAATTCCCCAGGGACCGTCTGGGGTCGCGACGGGCACGTGGGAATAACCGGCAAACTGCGGAAAGTCTTCTACGCTATCTGTGTTGGGCGCGCTTTGAGGCTGCTGCTGTTGCTGTTGCTGCTCCCACGGTCCACCCTTCACGATGAAGCCGGTATCGTTTTCATTGCCGCCGGCATTGATGTCGTCACGTTGAGGCGAACGCAGACTCTCACGATATTCGTTCTCTATTACATCTTGCATCTGTCATAAAGATTTTTTTTTATTTACAATTACAGATTCGCTTCTACCTAATGAATAATTTTCACGTAGTGAGCACGCTATATACTTACGTATTCCTCCTCTAGATTTAGCAAACGCTCTCTCGCATCGGCTACATTCTCTTCAGCACCCACAATCGTCACGATATTAGGATCGGCGTCAGTTTTTCTCGGGAATTTTATATCAACTTTATATTCGTCCATGATTTTACGGATGTTTCTACCTTTCGCACCGATCAAACGCGAGTGCACGGCAGCATTTATCTGTACCTCCTCTTTAGTTAAACCGTTCTAAAATGATACAAGAGAAAAAAATAAGTTGCAATGCACAAGTATATAGTGAACGTTGTTACGTATAACATTTTTGTAATTGAATGCTTCCGATGTAAGAGAGCTAAAACTCACCAATTCGTTGACAATCTTCATAATATCGTCCCGGGCACTGTACGCATTCTTTTCGTATCCAGTTATCGTGATAATGTGCTCCTCGGGATCACCCTTGCGCGGGAAATTAATTTGAACGTCATGGTCACTACGTATTTTACTGATCACCGCTCCTTTTCGACCAATTATTTTTGGATGATATTCCGGATCGACTTCGAGCTATTGAATAATATGCACGTTATATACTTTATTTAACAAAGTTTGTTAATTTCTCTTCTTAGACTCGATCAGATATTATTTCTATTTTAAAATTAAACTTTAGATATTGAAAGATTCGTTATATCAACAACTCACCTTCAATTCAAAGGATTTTAATGCTCGGTCTTCTCGTTCAGCTTTCAACGTCTCGCATTTTTCAAGAATAGCTTCCTTGGCCCTTATAACACATGACGGCGTTCCAGAGATCTAAGAAATAAATGAGAAATAAATACATGTGAATGAAATAAACGTCTATAAACGTCTCGCAAATCGAATGAAACAATTTACCTTGATATAATCAAGTTTTTCCTCTGCCGGAGAGAGCATAATGTGTACATCATAGGTATTCATTAGTTCTCGCACATCTTTACCTTTCTGTCCAATTATCGAGCGGTGAAAATCGAACGGTACGTCTACCTAAGTGTGAAAGAAAAAAAAAACAAGTTTACTTGAAACTGTTTTTATAAATGTACAAAATAATTCGGTTCACGAGAATATAAACTAACTTGGATTGTAATAGGCACGAGATCAAGTAAAGCTTGCTTGGCAGCAGCAACGTTCCCCGGTTGCCCGGTAATGCGAATTATATCGCAAGGTAGAACAATCTCTCCGGCTTCTCCGTTTTCACCATTAATCTGTTCCGGTACTTTTTGCTCTTCTAGAATGATAATATTTGCAAATAATCAATATCTTTGTACATTCAAGGAAAATTATATGCATAAATGATAAGAAAATTGATATTAACCATAGACATCGCGATCAGGGAATTTAATTTGCACGTCGTACTCGGACGTTATATTTTGCACCTTGCGACCTTTGGCACCCATCACCGTACGATGATGCTTTTGTGGTATTACACATTCCACTGTTACCATAGATTCCTAGACGATCAGGAGGACAGAGCGATAAGTATACGATTGCGCGTACAACGATTCGTCCGTAACGTACTTACCAAATCTTGGACGATTTCACGCATACGTTGTTTCGCCGCTTCTATGCATTCATGTGAGCCTTTCAGGATAACGCGATCGCTGTCGACGCCTGCTCGTGGAAAGGATATTTGCACGCCGCCACATTCGTCAGCGATTCGGTGCAAAACGCCGCCTCTTCGCGCTACGAAATGTCTATGGTGCTTAGGATCGATACGAATTTCACCCTCGATAATGTTATCCTGTGGAAATGCATTAAGATTTTCAGAAATAATTACATCTATCATTCATA